AGTTTCATGAGGACAAAAGCTTTTGAGTGTAAATTTCTTGAATGATAACTGGCACAAACTTATGCTAGAAAGTAAAAAGTTTGACAAGTACGAATAAAGTAAAAAATAAGGCTTTAACCTGTTAGTGTGGTTTTAAAGTAGGAATTCTGGTAGTCTATGTTAAAACTCATTATTGTAACACATTTTATTCTAAAATAATAAACATGGGAATAGTTTTGGATGATACCGTTAGGAGATAGTAACAGCTGTGATTAGATTAAATATTATTTTTGCTATCCCGCCCAGATTCAAGAACTTGAATCATATTAGATTTACCATTGCTGTTGCCCAAGTTCTTGTAGGTAAGATGTTTATTTCACTATGCATTTCTCCACATCGTATGGCATCTTCAGGGGTCTTAGTTGTCAAGATGTATGGAGTAAAAAGAGGTGGGCCAGACAGAGCGGACTGCGCGCGATGACGTCACTGCAGTCCCGGCCGCGGCCGCCTCGCCGCTAGATACATGCTAAACGCACAAACATTACTTTTTCAGACACGATTTAAGCTGATTTGGAGGAGGTATTTCACGTCATGACATAAATATCTTTGTCTACTAAATAATGATTTTTATGATTTTGAATAACAACACACATGATGTACCGTACCTTACATTTGATTTAATTGACAATAATAAATAACTAATTAGGCCTGTATGTTGCATAGAAATGATGAAATTTGGGCGTCTACCGATACAGGACGCATTTTAATTACAGGAAAAATAATTACACTTTAGAATAATTTTAGAAAAAGATATAACACTGCCTTTTTTCTGGCGAGTTAATAAAATATATGTTTTTAGCACTAGGTAAAAAAGTTGCTTACAAATCAAAGTCAACTACGATATTACTATTTTACAGGAATTAAATAGATAACTTCTTGATCAGCATTGTACGTGTTATTAAATTTACGGAAAGTAAATAAAAAAAAATAATAAAAAAACGTCTTATAACACTTAAAACATATATTTACGCTTATACTGTTACTCACAAGACGGTAAATATACAAAAACGATGGTAAGTGGTGATCGATTTCGATTGGACACTCCAATCATCATCAGACCCAATAGGTGAATGACAAGAATCTTGAATGGCGTCCCTACTTATACCCTATTGGCTACCGGAAGCACCGGCCAATACATTTTTATAAGTACAACTGGAATCAAAATGTATTTGTTCATTAATCAACTTATTTCTATCTTTACATTTTTCCTTATAAATATACAATTCTTCTCAAGCATTCATTACATATCCTTTCTTACAATTCTTTAAAATTTCTAGACTATCCTCCATTTTTCCTAGTGAGTGCCCATTTTGTAATAGGTGTTTTGCGACATTTGATCTTTCCGGTTTGTTGTTCCTCCACGCAGATATGTGGTTTTTGAAGCGGTTTACGAAGTTCACAGTCTGTCCAATGTAGAAGCTATCACAATCGTTACAATTGATTTTATAGATGCCCGAAGTGTCAAATTTGTTACAATCTTCTATTTTTGGATGCAGTATTTTACTCATGGTGTTCTGAGTCCTGTAGGCTATTGAAACTCCGTATTTCTTGAATCTGTTAGCAGTCCTTTGTGTTGTAGTCCCCGTGTAGCTAAATGTGATATATCTGGTGCTTTCCTCTTTTATCTCTTCTAATGTTGTTCTGCTGTGTAGTGTATTCTGTCTATCGATTCTTCTCCTCGTCTTCCTTGCGATGTCCTCTATCGTCTTGGTTCGAAATCCATTCACTTGGGCGATCTTCTTAATGGTGTCCAGTTCTTTTTTCCTATTGGCTTGGCTAAGTGGGATCTTATAGGCTCGGTACAGCATAGATCTAAAGGCTGCGGTCATCTATGCTGTACCGAGCCTATAAGATCCCACTTAGCCAAGCCAATAGGAAAAAAGAACTGGACACCATTAAGAAGATCGCCCAAGTGAATGGATTTCGAACCAAGACGATAGAGGACATCGCAAGGAAGACGAGGAGAAAAATCGATAGACAGAATACACTACACAGCAGAACAACATTAGAAGAGATAAAAGAGGAAAGCACCAGATATATCACATTTAGCTACACGGGGACTACAACACAAAGGACTGCTAACAGATTCAAGAAATACGGAGTTTCAATAGCCTACAGGACTCAGAACACCATGAGTAAAATACTGCATCCAAAAATAGAAGATTGTAACAAATTTGACACTTCGGGCATCTATAAAATCAATTGTAACGATTGTGATAGCTTCTACATTGGACAGACTGTGAACTTCGTAAACCGCTTCAAAAACCACATATCTGCGTGGAGGAACAACAAACCGGAAAGATCAAATGTCGCACAACACCTATTACAAAATGGGCACTCACTAGGAAAAATGGAGGATAGTCTAGAAATTTTAAAGAATTGTAAGAAAGGATATGTAATGAATGCTTGAGAAGAATTGTATATTTATAAGGAAAAATGTAAAGATAGAAATAAGTTGATTAATGAACAAATACATTTTGATTCCAGTTGTACTTATAAAAATGTATTGGCCGGTGCTTCCGGTAGCCAATAGGGTATAAGTAGGGACGCCATTCAAGATTCTTGTCATTCACCTATTGGGTCTGATGATGATTGGAGTGTCCAATCGAAATCGATCACCATTTACCATCGTTTTTGTATATTTACCGTCTTGTGAGTAACAGTATAAGCGTAAATATATGTTTTAAGTGGTATAAGACGTTTCTTTTATTTACTTTCCGTAAATTAAATAGACCAAAAAATCTGTTCGGATAAATTGCATTGGCCAAAGAGTACTCTCAGGGAATACTAATGATTTTCCCTGAGGAAAGCTTGGTTCACAGGTACTTTTAAAGAAAAAATACTAATTCCGTATTATACTTTTCATTTTAAACTTTATTATTTTCGTGTTAAGAGGATTTTTTTTTATATAATTGCACGTTTGTTTGGTGTGTTTATACGAGTTTACTTTCTGAAAACTTTACTTTACTATCTGAGATAAAAAAATTCTAGTATATGCGTTTTGCTCTAGCTATATATAATGACAGTTACCTATTTTAAGACTTAAACTAAGTTCGACATAGTAGTCATATTTTAGATTTCCGAAAAAAAGGTACGCTCTGTCTGGATTGAAAGGTGCAAAAGAAAGGATTTTTGGAATTCAAACATTTTTATATTTGTTTATTTTGAAGTTTTGTAAAGGAATTTAAATTCATAATTATTGGGTTTGGGGAATGTAACTTAAACATTCGTGAGCCCTGAATCAAACTTGTGTTTTCTGAAAACAGTATTATCGCAGTGATCCGGAGGAATGTTTTACAAAACAAAAACGTAGAAAATTTTACAGGGGGAAACAAAAGAATATGCAAGCTGTGTTGTAAAATTAAAACACCGTAATGTAGGCTAAATGAAACTTGAGACTTTGGAAAAGGAATTTTTATAAATTGAAAATTAAATACTTCAAAAGCCATGATATGAAAAAATGACCCTTGTGAAGAAAGTAAAGACATTAAGCCATAAGCCATTAAGTTAATTGTTTACCTCTAGACCGTCTTGAGCTATTTGCTCAAAGAAGAATAGTAGGTTGTAATGAGATTGAAGTTTTTAAACAGGCAAAAACATATGAATGGCAAAAATAAAATTTAAAAAATCAACTAAGAAACGTCATTGTCAATAGTAAATTGTAAAATATTTCAAGAACTCTAATACCGCAATGTATTTATAACTGATTACATGGTCCAATGGTGAGAGATACACTTTGTAAATAAAGTGTTTTTATTTAAAATAAAGTTCCATCCCTAATTACACTAATCTAATGATTGTGCATTACCAAAAGCTACTTTTATTTGGTATATCTGTATAGCGAAAAATTTTTGTTTGATTTAATTAATAATTTTAAGAGCTATAAATCTTAAGGGTATCTAATTTACTAACTAATATATTCATGAACAACTGTACTTAAGTAGGCTATCCTAAAAATATATACATCATAAAATTAGATGCTATTTACCGGATCAGAGTACAGTAGATCTATTCTTAGTGGTGTACAGTAACAACAATTGCAGAAATGGAAGGAATAACATATTAATATATTAAACACCAAGCAAAACCGATTTTAACAATTGCGTGGAACAAACTGGCGTAAGCAACGCAACATAACATCTATCTAAGTCTTGTCTACGGGCTGTGAGTAGCAGCTCGAGGACTGCAGTGACGTCACTGCCTCGGCCCGATAGGCGAGGTGGGAGAGGGGCACGCTCAGCCTGGCCCACCTCTTTTACTCCATACATCTTGCTTCGTTGTCACTCATCACTAACACTCAAGTATATATTGTATTTATACATGTGTGGTCACTAGTGTTGTGGTCAGGTTGATTGTACAACACAAGGACGGACATGCGGCGGAGTGACAGTAGGTCTTGAAGAAATGAAACAGAGGAAAAAACCCTGCAGTGACTCCGCCGCGTGTCCGTCCTTGCCTTGTCCAACTGACCCGACCGCAACACTAGTAACCACACGTGTGTAAATATATATACTAAGACTAAGAGTGCTGAAAATGCCCTACAATGTGGAGATATGCATATGGTGACACAAACATTTTCCCTACAAGAACTCAGGCAACAGCAAAGGTAAATCTAAAGTAGGGCTAACAGCTGATTTGGCTGTAGTTTAAAATACTTACTTTTTGATGTCTCAGCAACTCTTCAATTGATTTTTGGAAATATCTATCACTGACACCTTTCTTAGACTCTTTGGAATTATTTTTTCCATAGAGTCAGGTAATTTTAAATTTAAATCAATCAACTCGTATTTTTCTTTTCCCGTAACAACAAACAGTTAGTCCCAAACAATCAAAGTACAAAAATATTGCTTGTAAATCTGTGAAATCTTGTGAGAGTACAATGACATTGTGGTATTTGTGAGGAAAGACAGGCTTGAAGTAGTTAAGTGCAAGCGAGCAAAAGCTAAGAGACAGAGACAAACCGTGATGCTGCAGATCTTTATGGATTAACGAACCACGTGCTGTGCCCTAGCTCCAAGGGCTTCGGATTAAAAACAGCCCCCAACACATCTTTGATCAGCCTGTATCACAAATATGGCTAAGAACATAATGTGCCAACGTAATGTAAAAAAAATTGGCTAAAATATTAGTTAGGAATGGTAAAGATATGATAAACACTGAAATCTCATTAGTGAAAACAAAACCCCTAGAGATGTTAGTATAGCTTTTAGAATTCTTTTCATAGAAAAATATAAGTTGTATTTACCTAAAGTTAATTTTTTAATAGTGAAAAAAAAATAATAGTGGACCTAATCGTACTGCACAACTAATTAACAGTGAAAACAAAATTTTTGTTTATGCTCTGTAAATCTGGGGAGAGGAAGCCCCCTTTAATTCGCCAATGTTCTTATATCGATTTACAAGAAAATCCATCTTATAATGGCATCAAATATCATAATAGCTTTACCTAAAAACATAAAGCTATTTTTATCGATGAATATTTTGTTTGGCAACAGACTTAATTAAAGTGGAAGACCACCATCACATTTAAGTACAAAAAAATTTTACTTCACTACATTCTACACAGCCAAGTCAAATAAACAGTTACATAGTTATGCACTTTACAAAATAACAGCAATATAGGTGAAGTAGTTGTTAAACACATTTTTTGATCATAAATTATAAACCATCATTTTAAAGATGACGAGTCTTAGATGAAAAAAACTTTAAAGCAAAGAATATTTTGGTATAGTCCATTTTAAAAGCTAAATTGTATTACTGGTGCACTAACTATTTATGGCCAAGAGAAAAAAAAAATAGGAACCATTGCAACACTAGCAATAAACATTGAAGAAAACAGTAAAAAATTAAAAATTCTGATGAAGCGGCTTTGCTTGACAGACTAAAACATCCAGAAGAAGTTTAGCACAGAAAGCTGCACAATTAAAGATTCTGCAAAACTGCAAAAAGCACAATCAGCCCAAAATGGGACAAAAATTGAAACACTCACCAAGCTAATATGCTCAAATCACTTCCCTGGCTCAAGATGCTAATCCTAACAAGTGAAAAATGGCTAAACTTTTTTTCATCAACGATGCTTCAAATTTAATTTTTATAAATTACATTTCCTACAGGCATATTTTTTATCGATTCTCCACAAATTGGGAATACATGACACTAAGAAGATCAATAAATTTACAAAATGTATTCAAACAAATATGTATTTCTTCCACAGAAGACCCAAAAAATTACTTCTTGTCATTTTCAGAAATTATTTAGAAGACACAATGTTTGTGGAAAAGTGGTAGGTTTTTTTCTAGTCGCTACACCAACCGATTTTTATTTGGAGAAACATATGCAATGAAACACGTTCTAAGCTTCTGAAATGTCTGATATCTGTGCATATGCTATAAACAGATCCTGCAAATCTAACACGAAAACTTGAGATGCAAACCACTAAGATAGCAGCATATCCAAAATTAAAAACTTTTATACAAAACATTAGTTATAAAGTTTAATTTTTAAAACAACGTGTTAAGCTTACTCAAAGGACAAGTCTTGTAAATTTCATTATTGCTCCACGTTATAATTATTTTATCCTAACAATGTCAAACCATCAAAGGAAGTACAGATTGTAATTGAAACCCTTTTTACTGACTATTGAAGAAACCGTGTGCATAACAACTACTGGTTGAAACTTGGGTTTGCTGATTCACATTTTTTAAAGACGTTTTAAGAATCAGGCCTAGAGGACAATCCGATGGTTTACAGTCACAATTTCTTCAGTAGACTAGACATAATAAATGAGAATTTGGAATTGTTACAAATTGTTCTGAATTTTACAATTCAAAATCCTGGCCTTGAGCCGTTCCTTGAACAAAATTAATGTCCTCCACTAAGACTGTGATTCAAACTATTTTTAAATATGTGGGATCAACAATATTTGTAAATGTATTTTTTTGGTACAGTTAACACATATATTTTTTTCTCTTTGTGTTTTACCATTTATTTTGATAATTTAGAACTGTCTTATTTTAATTTAAAAGGACTGTTCTTTAGTTTACATCAAAATTTGAACATTTCTTGATTATTCGCTTGTCATTGTTATTGGAGATATATTGAAGCTAGATCTATTGTATCTATTGTATGTAATAAGAAAAAAATAGAATAAGGGCATTGATTAGAGGATTCACGTGTAAGTGTTTAAAAAATTGGCTTCAATAACTTTCACGGCAACAAAATAATAACAGCTGTTTTTAACCCAAAATTATAAAAAATATCTGTAAGGCTTGTTTTCTGAGTGCACTCTAAACCTTGGTTTTACAAAAAAATCATAGGAGGAAAAAGCTTGGTGTCACCCAATTAGTACTAAATAAAAGTTTTTATTGGAATGAAAACCTCCCGACATTATATTTAACAATATAACACCTTACATGTTTTCAGCCAATCTATCAATTCAATACAAATACCTAAAGACTAAACAATGTACACTAATAAATGTTGTGAGCTGAACAAAATGGAATATAATCGTGGAAATATTATTCAATTAGATTCATGTTTACGGGGATAACATCAATGTGTCATGAAAATCAAATATTTTCTACCCCGAGGATAATGATTATTTATGCTGGCTAGTAAAAACTCACCCAAGCTTGCTGATATATTTTTCTCTCAGTTCTTCTCGTACCTTTGGCATGTATTTTAAGGCTTCTGACTGATTGTTGTGTTTTAAACAAACATCAACAAACGGCTGAAAAATATAATTTAATTGTTAAAATTTAGTATTAATGATTAATGGTTATATCACTAGTTATGTGAGGCGATGAGATAATTTTTAGACAAGTCAGTATGAAGGCACTTTACCTGCAAATTTCATACATTTTTTTTTGGTATTTACATAAATGAGTATTGTAGTAGACTCTCGATTCTCTGACCTTTAATGATGATCAAATACTGTGAATCATGTGCTATTTCCGATCGGTATGACTGTACAACGTAAAGGTTATGTTACAGCCTCTTTTGCCGACACAAACTGTTCTCAGAAATGGTGTGAGTAAAGTAGTGGTCAAAAAATGTTGTAACTCGAAACCGAAAGTAAAAAAATTAACATGAATATGTGATTTTATTGCACTTTGAGCCTAAAAACCAAATTTTTTATGAACAATATATATTGGCATACGCGTAAATTCAACTCCAGACCCTGACAAACATGAAAATGAGACCAATTCAAACATTCACAGTCAATATTCGAATCGATATGAAACCTTATTGAACGTAAGTTGTGGTAATAGTAGTTATGAGACTTGTTGCAGTTCAGAATATAATTTACTTGTTTCATCAGTGTTAGTTTTAATGTTTAGGAATTTAGGAATTTTAACAAAAGGTTTCAAGAGTGCTTAGAAATTTTATTGAGGATCAAAATGTAAATGGCAATTTATATGTACGATCCGTGAGGAATAAAATACCAAACATGTTTAATTTGTTTTCTTATAGGGATATTGATGGATATGGAAAGGGTATCCACAACGTCACTAGTACAGATAGGAGATGACTAGAGGCTTGTGACCTTGGCAGGGGACTTGCGGCATATTTTCTGTCATGAACAATAATAATGATGCAAAAAAAGGTCAGCAGTTACGGTTAAGTTTTGAACCTTTAAACCAAAACTCTTTAAAAGTTTTGACAATTTTAAGATTAGATGGCTTTGAGTTTTGACACATCACTACTCAAATGTTCATAACTCAAAAGATATGCGCCGGGATAGGACACCTGCATTTGACTGTCCTTAATTATTGTTTTACATTCCACCTAACTCCTCAACTCCTCATAATACGCGCATAACTCTCTGACCCTCAATCTTGGGGTGAAAGAGAACTTATGACTTTACATACACGTATTGCTCGACCTTACATTCCACGGCCGATTTATCTTAAATAATTTAGAGTACTGTATAAACAATTTACATTTATTAAATTCACAAAAAAATTATTTTGTGTTTTATTTTAGTTTCCAGTTGTATTAACTGAATAAGAATGAAGGATCCAACAATCCCTGAAGAGTATGAAATAGTGTCTATGGTTGAATGGTGCCACACTCCTAAGAGTAAAAAAAGAACTTGAATCAAAGAAAATCTGACTGGTAGGTAATTTTGTGAGTGTCTCTTTTCTTGTAACCAATTATGAAAATTGTGTCATTCAGATACCAAAATTTTTTAAACTGAATATTAAAGCACCTTTTAGTCTATGTAAAATAATAAATAAAAATAACAGAAAAACCATATTTTCCTGTATTTGGGGGCCTCTTACCTCATAACCAACGGGAGATTTTTTACTTTTGGAAAATATTTCTAAATCTGTCCATTTCCCTTGTTCTGCTAAACTCTCGATTCTAAGCCACCAGTACCTAGAAACAATAAATGACATAAGAAAACTGTCTTTAGCTTCACACCATTACAAATAAATAGCGGACTATTACGTATAACTCAACATATAATTTAAAGATGGCTGAACAGTAAATTCAAATTATTTCCATTACAATTTCTTAAGTATTGTATTAAATTAATAATACAACAATGTTAAAAAGTGTGGAATCAGTAAAAGACTAGAATAAGTTTTGGAAGTTTGATTTTGTAAATGAGCAAAAACAAATTTTAATGTGTATATTATCAAAACCCTGATATCCGATTGATGTCTTAACAATTATGGATTGAAGCAGTTTTAAGCATAGCCTATATGCTTTCTGTAGAGCTACATCTGGTCTTCTGGTGTTAACTGATTTGTGGATTCTCACCAACATTACTACCTTATGATGGTCGACAGAAAAAATAGTGGTTCATAACTTTTTTTTTGTTTGGAGAGGAGGGAAAAAGCTTTTACGCACACAGGTAGCCAGCCTGTAGTGTGAGACTCCTAAATTTATCAGACTACTCACTAAAATACCACCTCTACTCTGTTGGGCACAGACCTGGAATTGTTTGTCACATTACTTCAAGTGAGGCCAACATGTGACCTAAGTCCTCAGGGCTCGCACCGTTTCTGGCATTTAGATTCTTTATGACTTACGCATAACGGTCAAGGTCGATCTTCTTGGCGTGGAGAATACCCTGGATGTAATGTGACACAGAGGTCCAACTGTCCTCACCGGTCATCATCGGTATGACGGTGTCCACCAACAGCAGTCCTACGAACTGTTGAACCGCCAGGCGGGGCCTTTCCCAACGTTGGCAGTGGAAAAAAGTATGTTCCACGTCATCGGGAATGCCTGGGCAGTATAAGCAATTGGGTGGCTCGGCCTTGCCCTTCCTGAACAGGTACGACCCGAAAAAGCTGTGACCCTTCAGAAATTGGGTGAGGTATAAGTTCACCTCTCCGCACCGCCGATTAGCCCAAGGTTGGACTTGCTGTATCAGTTGCCTGGTCCAATGTCCCGTGTCTCCTGTTCCCAGCTCTCCTGCCACAGCTGGTGAAGCGGGTGCGTTCCTCTGTTTGTACCTGGTCCTCCTCACGATACTGATAAATTGCCTTTCTCTACATCGCCAAAAGTTCGACGGGGATGGCTCCAGCAAACCCCAGGACAGCGGGCTCGGACACTGTTTGGTAGGCAGATGCTACCCTTAGTGCTGCCTGTCTGCACTCGGTCGAGCTGCATCCTATATATATCTCCTTATTGAGAGCATCTCCCCACACCTCCGTACAAGAGTACGGACTGGACCGAAAACAATAACAGCCTTCTACGACTGGACCGAAAACAATAACAGCCTTCTACGACTGGACCGAGGCACTCCGACATTGGCCATCAACCGGTTAAGACAAGAAACCACCCTCGCGGCCTTGTCCGCTGTACGAAAGATCTGATCCCGCCAGCTAAGCTTGCTGTTCACCATGACCCTAAGGTACTTGGCAGTACGAACGGTTTGGACTTCGACGGCCCCCACCCTAAACCCGATGGTGTCAATCAGTTTTTTTGACGAAATCACGATCTCGGTTTTGCTCAAATCGAGCGAGAGACCGTGGTCGGTCATCTATGTGTTTATAGTCCAGGCGCTAAACGGGTTGAGTATGCACTGAAAGTCTGACAAAATTTGACTTTTGATTATTGTTGGGGACATCTAGTAGATGAAAAAAATCGATGATGTCGCATTTCTAGGGTGGTCACAACTCGGGGGGGAGGGGGGGAAGTTGCGCGGGTCATCGGTTTACGTTTCCACGTCTAACTCACAAATGGTTAATGATAGAAAGGTGAATTAAGCGTCTATCTACGCCTAAATAAATTGTCTTTTAAAAAGATTATTACAACCTTTCTTCTATCTCTTATACTTTAGGCGCTAATCAACATTTATTGCAAAAAATAAAATTTAAAAATACTTAAAAATGAAATATCGGAAATATTGCGCTTGTTTAGGGCATGTTACAAACTATTTATGGTTAGAAAAACTAACAAGTAGTACAACAACACCAAGTTTAAAGAAATCCCTGCAAAAACAACAGAGCTACGTTGATTTCAGTAAGAGTAAACGTGGAAAATTCGTAGTAGTACCGAGGCGCGCATGGACGGTACGTAGCCCACAGTCGATATAGGTTTGATGTTGTAAGTAACAATGGGAAAGCTGAATTTTTCTATGCTATTAGACCATGTTGAGATGAGCATTTTCCCAAAAGTCCCCACTCCTACCCCTTTGTGCCCCCCCCCCCTTTTAGATAAATTTACAGTCTCTTAGAAATTAAGCTATAACTTTAAAACGGGTAAGGATAATAACGCAATATTTTATTAATCATTTTGCGTTACGATATTCTACAACAAGTGTTTACCATGGTATCCTAAATATTCATAGTTAAAAAATATCATAAACATAAAAAAATATTTTTTGCGGATTAATTTATGAAACTTTTCTTTGTAGATTTTTTACACGAGGTCGCACAACAAAATGTTTGATACAAAATTTGGGGTGCATAGTTTACATTTGAAAATGATACATAGTTATTAACAGTTTGTTTGCATATAGTAGCTATAGATAGTACAGTATATTGATTTTACAGGATTCAGGCTTTTTTGTGCACCGCAACAATGAAAAAATTACGTATATTATGGTTTTTGTATTTGAATTTGCCGCTTTATATAGATTATATTAACGTTATGTAGCTCATTCAGTACATATACAGACTGTAGTGGATACATATGAATGAATATCGTGCATTTGCTGCTGTACGCCAGAGCCTCATTTTATTATACAGGGTGTCTCACCTAAAGTGAACCAATAGATAACCTTTTTATTATGAGATATAGAGTTAACTTCTTATGGGACACTACCCTTTATTTTAAGATGTTTTTTTTAGTGGTTTCGAATTTTAAAAATATGTTCGCCATTTTCCAATATGGCTGACAACTTTGTTAGTCCTATGGAATACCCTGTATTTTATGATTGTTTTAGAATGTAAACGCACAACTTTTAAACCTTTTTATTCTTGACATTTTTCTCTAAAGCTACTTGTTTAGGAGTTACATCGAAAAAGAAATGGTTTGTGAGTACATCCTGCATCCTCACAGCTCATAAACGTAAGTTTAAGAGCGGAAATACAAAGAATAAACAAGTTTTCAAATCACATCTACATTTAAAAAAAAACCATAAAATAAATTGTTCCAATATTTAAGGGACATTTCCTTGTTCCAAAAATGCCAAAGTAAGCTAGCATTTTTGAAAATGGTGGCCATTTTTAAAACAACAAAATCAGTATTTTTTACGTATTTTATATATTTTTTTGAACGAGGACTTATATGTGACTTATTTATTCTTTGCACTTTCTCTCTCAACTTACTCGTTTATGAGCTACAGGATGCCGAATGTACACCACAAGCCTTTCTTTTAGATATAACACGCTGTAACTCCTAAATGGGGTAGGTTTAGAGAAAAAATGTCACGAATAAGAAAATAGCTTTTAAATTGTAAAAGAATACTAAAATACAGCGTATTCCATAAGAAATAACAAAGTTGTTGGCCATATTGGAAAATTGTGGATATATATTTTTTATTCGTAACCATCCCTAAAAACATTTTTTTACAATTAAAAGGGGTCGTCTAGTAAAAAGTTAACTCTATATGGAAAATAAAATTTGTGTATGTTCACTATGTAATCTCAACCGGGATGAAACGTGTACCCTTTTATAGCAGAATCTCCAATTTAAAAAAAGATACGTCCATTTTGGTCTAACAAGTTATATTTAAATGAATATGAGTTTTTTTGAATTTTTAAATGGCAAAGATTGGCGGGCACTTGGAAATTTTCTTAAAGAGGCGTGGAGTAAAGGTTGGGAATTGATAATGGAGTATAATTATTAAATTTAAGAATTGAGATATCGATACAAAAATTGGAAAAATCTATGTAATTTAAAAAATTTATAAAATATTGTTTGTTAAGTATCTATCAAAGTAAATTATAAAAGTAACAGGTTTGTTTTATGAATTATTAACTGTTTGTAAGAAAAATTCAGATTTTCAGTAGGCTACATTTAAATTTTATTATTCATTCAATTGTTATCTGATCTTTATTAGTATGTAGTGCTATTTGTGTATGTTCTGTAGTGGAAATCAGTTTATTTTATGAATAATTGTATGTGATTCATGGTATTTTTTTAAACGGTTTTAAAATATTTTAAAATCAGTGTGTCTAACACAAAACAGACGGTCTTTGACCATTGTTCTTTGCATTTAAATAAAAAACACTGTATTGATATTTTATTACAATAAACACATTTTCTTCTTCTTCTTCATCATCTATCTTCTTCATCATTTATTCATCTAATAATTCTTTTTGTAGATTATCGTAACGCAAAATGATTAATAAAATATTGCATTATTATCCTTACCCGTTTTAAAGTTATAGCTTAATTGCTAAGAGGCTGTAAATTTATCTAAAAAGGGGGGTTAGAGGAAAGCACAAGGGGGGAGGAGTGTTGACTTTCGGGAAAATGATAATCGCAACATGGTCTAACAGCATAGAAAAATTCAGCTTTCCCATAGTTACTTACAACATCAAACCTATATCGACTGTGGGCTACGTACCGTCCATGCGCGCCTCGGTACTACTACGAATTTTCCACGTTTACTCTTACTGAAATCAACGTAGCTCTGTTGTTTTTGCACGGATTTCTTTAAACTTGGTGTTGTTGTACTACTTGTTAGTTTTTCTAACCATAAATAGTTTGTAACATGCCCTAAACAAGCTCAATATTTCCGATATTTCATTTTTAAGTATTTTTAAATTTTATTTTTTGCAATAAATGTTGATTAGCGCCTAAAGTATAAGAGATAGAAGAAAGGTTGTAATAACCTTTTTAAAAGACAATATATTTAGGCGTAGATAGACGCTTAATTCACCTTTCTATCATTAACCGTTTGTGAGTTAGACGCGGAAACGTAAACCGATGACCCGCGCAACTTCCCCCCTTCCCCCCCGAGTTGTGACCACCCTAGAAATGCGACATCATCGATTTTTTTCATCTACTAGATGTCCCCAACAATAATCAAAAGTCAAATTTTGTCAGACTTTCAGTGCATACTCAACCCGTTTAGCGCCTGGACTATTATGGTACGCATAACTTGGTTCAGTACACGCACCTGGTTCATAACATTACTTTATTGTTAATTTAAGTCAATGAAGGCATTAAATTTGTAACTGTAATTAAAGGCTCAAATTATAAAAACCAATCAAAAACTGAATGGGATAGATTCCAAACTGGCACAAGAAAACAAACAATGACATTTTTTTGTGTTTATACACAAAACTAGGGGTGTGCGAATAGTGATTTTTGGGTTCAAATCAAATTGAATCGAATACTTCATAATATTTTCGAATATCGAATATTACCGAGCGAATATTTATGTTATTATGATAGACTCCAAAGAATTTTCCAATCACAGTTTTGGAACCCTACTAAGGTTAATAATTCTGATTTTAACCAATGTAACATTTTAAAATAATAAATTTTTGCCCTTACCTATTTTATTTGTTCTTGGTACAAAATGAGTACAGTACAGGGCTTCCAGTATTTTTCTCATTTTATTTAATTGATATTACTATAAAAATGAATAATTTCCTACATTTATGGTTTTCTAAAAACAATTTTTACAGTATCACACATTATATCACCTTTGGCTCCTAACATGATTATATCAAGAAAAAAAATAAGATAAAGGCTTAACCTATTTTACAACTATGATAGGTCATAGCATGTCATAGCCATAATAAAGTAGTTAAAAATTAGGTAGGCCTAAAGCATTTTTTGGAATAAAGATGTTTGCAGCAACATTTTGACAAAATAATGTAACACAACTGGTTACTTTTTTCCAACCAACACAATAACGGGTTGTTTATTTTAAACTTTTAAAAACATATAAATGCATTCAGTTAGGGGTCTGCGGTGCACCGAGGTACTAAAAAACCATTAGCAGTCCCAAAACCCAAAACCATTGCATTAATATTTTATGCCGACATTGTTGTAGTCAAGTCAAGTACTTCCAAGAACTTGTTTAGTCAGTAGTTTTGGTCTATAAAGTTCAAAAGTTTTATCACTTTTATTCCTTTACGTCTTCCATGATTTATTTAATTTAATGTTTAAAGAAAAAGTCAGAATGAGAATATAAATACTAGTAAGACAAAACAAACAATAGAAGGGTGGGATTGGTTGGACAATGACCTCGAAAGGAGCGGGCCACTGTGAATGGAGATGGGGGGGGGGGAGGGGAGGGTGCAACCTTGAAGCTATATTTAGACTAGAGGGGTGGCTTGGCCTGGGATTCTAATAGCAGGACAATGATACATAGTTGTATTTTCGGAAATCCTTTGCCCTGTTTGACTTCAGATTCTCTTTTTCCGTGTAGAAACTTTGAATCTATATAATTTGAATTAACTACAAATACATTCAAATTAATGCCATGATTTGCATTTTAACATAAAAATACAACCATTGCACAATCATGATATTTAGGTCATTGGCCTTTATTACGCATCTGGTTGTGTTGTTTCAGAAGAGAAGCAGAGACAAAATTGTGTAACAAAACAAGAAAGTAGAGTTAAAAAAAGATATTTCTCTGTTCAAAAATGTAAAAAAAAACTTGCTGATTATTTTCATAGAAATTAATTCACGAGTTTGTGTCTTGTTAAGGAGTATGTTTAATCTATGCCAAAGACTGTGAAGTGTAGTTCTATCCTCATAGCTTACTAGTTGCTACTCAGACAACACTTTCAGACGACTTATTTCGTCATTCTACTGTACTTTAAGTTCTGTTACAAAAAGTAGATCCTAATATTAACCAAGCTAAAAGAATATATTTAAAATGTATACAAATAGATATCTGTCTGGTAAACTAATACAAACTTAATTCCTGCTAAAATAGGCTATTGTTAATTAATAAAATAAGAATGGTTGACAGTCTTGTGTTTCCATGCAAGTAGGTTGCAGTAAGCCTATCGTATTGGAGCATTGTAAGCTAGCCAGCTGAGCGGAGTGATTTTAATAATCACACAATAAAATTATTGTCCTTGAAAATGGTCGTGTTCGTGTGTAGAGTTAAGGAAGATGTCATAATATGCTGACGTTGCCGATGAATCATGAAATGTTGGAATGAAATAAAACAACACAATACCATGATTTATTTGGTGGAAATTAGAGATTATTTCTAAGTTTGTTTACTATTCAAATGTTCAAATATACTCATTCTGATCGAGTTAGGCTCGAATACTGAAGTATTCGTTCAACTATTCAAACTTTCGAATATTCACACACCCCTACACAAAACATTAGAATATTTCATTGTCACTCACTGACAGCGTTTCCAACCAAGGAAGAGAGTTTTCTTTAGGTCTAACAGAGGCCAGGGAGTTAGATTGTTAAATTATCTACTTAACTTTTGACATGAAGAAGACATATTAAACACAAAGACAATAAACACTAAAAATATTTGTACTTTCAAAACAAGGGTGGCAATGGTCTTGCACCCTGCATTTAGCAATTACTATCACAGTACTTAATGAATAATAATCTTTTATACCAACAGAGTACAGCAGTTTGATCAACATCTTACCTGCGATCAGGAACTTTGTACTCAGTTCGCAGTTTGTCTGCCAGTTTGACCTCTCCCAAGGACAAGAGACCCACAACAGTGTCTTGAAGACTTCCGTTTACGAAATCTCTGTGGAATTTTTCTTCCAAAGTCCTCTGGTACTTCAACAACTTCAACTGTTCGTCACACAAACAAGCGTGAAGTTCGTTCTTTGCAATTTTGAACTTTTCCGCTGCAGCAACCAAAGAAGCTTCCCGACTTGTAGTGCTCTGTAAAACAGTTGTTAAGATACGTGGTCTTCGTAAATCTCCAAATTCATTCAATTAAAATAATTTGTGTTTTACATTTTCTAGAAAAAATGGGTACAAAATTAATGAGTACAGTAAACTCTCGTTTGGATCCGATTTTTTAAGGCTAATAATATTGCCGCTAATGAAGATTGTAAACATGTCGATGGCAGAGGGGACTTTTCCAACCAAGTTGAAAACAGTTAAGGTATTTCCTAAACACAAACAAGGGGACATACAAAACATCACTAAATACCGACCTATCTCACTGCTCTCATCTGTCTCCAAACTCATAGAGAATATTATAAAAGTAAGAATCCAGGAGCGTCTTAGTCAAAACCAAGCATTGACAAACAGCCAACATGGGTTTGTTCCTGGAAAATCAACCACAACTGCTCTGATAGACTTTGTTGAATATATCATTGAGAACATAGAAAATGGCAACACAATCACCAGCCTGTATCTTGACTTAAGCAAGGCTTTTGATTCCTTGGGACATGATCTTATTCTAACTAAACTTAAAAAATTTAGGAATCCAGCGAACAGCTCTGAAATGGTTTGTAAATTATCTAAAAGGGCGAAGCCAAATGGTAGAAATAAAACACACAACAAAAGGGTTTACAGATACTGTCAGATCTGAATTGCTACCGACTAACAGAGGAGTTCCCCATGGCTCTGTCCTAGGGCCAGTTCTGTTTGGGCTGTTTATTAATGACTTCCCGGAACACCTGCAAATACAGCAAAATGGTCATGTATGCAGACGACACTGTACTGCTTACAGCAAACAGAAACATAAATCAACTAGAAGTTAACACCTATATTGCTTTCAATATGACACAGGACTACTGTATGAAAAATGACTTAGTCCTCAATGAAAGTAAGACCAAGCAAATGACTTTGGAAATAAAAAGTCTACAGAATCTTAAATGCCCAATCTGACAGCAGCTGAAGAAATCAAACATCTAGGTTTCATAATTGATGAAAATTTATCCTGGGATCGTCATGTAGCTTGTCTTTGCCAAAAACTCGGGCCAGCTCGTTTTGCCATAAAACAAATCAAAGAGACTAGTACCTCTAAGGCAACAAGGACTGCAAACCATACATTGTTTGAAAGCCATATAAGCTATGGTATTACTGTCAGGGGCGGATCCACTATGGACAATCTTAACCAGGTCCTGGTTATGCAGAAAAGGACTATCAGAATAATAGCACAAGTAAAGAACAAAGCTGTAGAGATGCCTTCAAAAACCTGAACATCCTGACGGTGACTTCCATCTACATCCTAAATATTGTTTATTACTGTGTAACCAAAGACCCGCCTAAACAAAGAGATATACATGAATACAATACCAGATATGTAGGAAACTATGTGCTACCTGGCTACAGAACAGCAATGTTTGAAAAGAAACCACTGTATGCAGGAGTGAAGATGCTAAACAAGCTACCAGATCACTTGAAAATTGGAGGCTCTGTGCTGATGAAGAGGAAGCTACGGAGATGGCTGCTAGACAAAGCTTTCTACACCCTAATGGAGTTCTTTGCATGGCAAGACCACACACAACACTGAAAAAGCTTTTCCATTTCACTTTGTATCTATTATTGTTATACCAATCAACCAATGTTATTTATTTAAACTTGACGCTGTAACATTTCTTGATGAAATTGTAATAAAGGAATTGTCTATTGTCTACTTAAAAATTACAGAACAATTAACAACATTTTTAGTGATTTTTTTGAACTCGTATTACAAAAAAATATATGTCAAGTCTTAAAAGGTATTTTTCACTTTTATCCTAATCCCATTCATTGTTAGTTTTTTTTTTATAGTTTCACAAACGTGTGGTTTTAACTGATGGCTAAATGAGTCTCTTACCTTTGGGTCGTAGGCATCTTGTATGAAACAGGCAGCTTGAGCGAAATGGTCATCTTCTTGCATGTAAATCATTCTGAGTCGTTCTCTACTATGTTCCTTACAATACTTGAGGTACAGGGCCTGAGCTAGAGGAAACTGTCGAATCTTCATCTGTACATAGAGTAAAAAAACATTACTCTTTGTTTACAAAGCTTTACCTCTAGTTAAAAAATGGTTTTAAAAACTAAAATAATACATTCTTACTTTTATAAACATAACCCCAGAATAATATTGTTTAGTGATGGGCGGATCCAAGAAAATGTCGGTACCGGATCCGGATCCAGATACACACTGTCCTAAGGGCGGGTTGAAAAAAATGAAATTAACAGAATGCCAATTTAAATCATACTGTTTAAAATTAAATTGGTAATGTTTAAAGGTTAATATATCTTATATATAGAGTAATCTCCAGTTGAGCCCATAATCCCCTCATTTTTTGGGGACACTAAAACTTTTCAAAATCATAAAATGAAACTTTGTGCTAAGTTTGCATGACCACCAAAAGGGTATCTGTGTATATTTTACTATACTGTAGTTCGATCTTGAGTATGCTATATCGTGATTTTTTCATGCAGCATCCAATTTATTTATGCCTGGATCACCTCTTGTTAATCTCTTCCTTAAATTTGTTCCAGGTCCACAGTACTGATAGCCGGGCATGTGAAGTTATACAGGTAAAATACCCTGTGTCTGTGTACAAGAAGACTATACTGTGTTCTACACAGTAAAAAACAGTCTTGTACATGGATACAGACAGCTTTGTGTTGGTAAGCAAATCGGGAAAGAATGGGTATTGTACATGGATACAGACTGTGTTAGTACAGTAGTACAGTATGGATACAGCTTTGTGTTAGTAAAAAAATCGGGACAAAATCGGTCTTGTACATGGATAAAGACAGTTTCGTGTTAGTAAAAAAATCAGGAAAAATTAGAAAAAATTGGATCCATCAAAAACCGGATCCAGCCCAAGGTCCGGATTTTTTTTTATCCGATCGGGTGCCGGTTCTAGCTCAGATCCAACGGATCCGGTAGTCCAATATCCGGATCCGACCATTACTAATATTGTTACATAACTTTTAAAATTGTGATTTTTCAAAACTGAATCTCAGATCTCAAAACCCCTAGGTTTTTGAGATTCCAAACTTTAATACTTCTAAAAGGAGTTTAATTTAAGTGTTTTATTATAATTATTTTGATAGATTGTGTTTTATGACAAATTATGGCAAAACATACTTCATCAGACAATCCATAACTAATTAGTAGTATTGTTTGAAACTTGCTACAGTAGAACCTCGATAACAAGACCCTCGATAACAAGTAACCCTCGATAACAAGGGTCATTTTCAAATCCCCTTGAAAATATTTTACCCCTAATCACATGTTATTGCCATCCTCGATAAGAAGTCAACCTTGATAACAAGTCTTATTTTATAACTTGTGTGTCACATTACATTTAGGGTATTCTCTGCGCCAAGAAGCTCGACCTTGACCAGAATGCGGTGTAGGTCATAAGGAATCTAAATGCCAGAAACGGTTTGAGCCCTGAGGGCTTAGAGAGCGGGAGCGGCAGCGACAGCGGGGAGCGATTTTCAACACCATTGAGTTAAATGGGGCTGTTTATGCATGAAGGGCGATAGCGGTAGCGGTTGACCTCCCGCTGCGGTTTCTAATTCGACCGCTGTGTAGTTAGAAATCGCAGCGGTTGCTTGGGATAGAGCGGTTTTCAACTACATTGAGTCAAATGAGACTGTGGCGGGAGCGGGAGCGGTTGCAGCCAGGGTTGCCAACTTGACCCACGCACACGTGCACTTAGGACAAATAGCTGAGTTAATTATTTGGCAGAGTTTGAGTTGGCAAGACTGTGTCCCCTTTCCATTCTCCTTTGACCAACTGCTACCGCTATCGCTTGCACCAACAAAAAAAAAAGCGGGGCCCGCTGTCGCCCCGCTCCCGCTCTTGGTGCATAAACGGGGCCTTAGGTCACATGTTGGCCTGACGTGAAGTAATGTGACAAACAATTCCAGGTCTGTGTCCAACAGAGTAGAGGGGGTTTTTTAGTGAGTAGTCTGATAATTTCAGGAGTCTCACACTACAGGCTGGCTACCTGTGTGCGTAAAAGCATTTTCCCTCCTCTCCCTAAAAAAAAGGTTCTACTGTACATATGTTTGGGTGGTTTTTTATAACTCCGCCATCCTCAGTCCAAAAAAAAAAGAATCCACTTCTTGAGGTGTCATCAGAATAAGTTACATACATAATCCAAAACTATTCAAGATAGGCCCTTCAACTAATTACACTTGTGTACATTGCTGCGGAAAGGACTGGTAGCAGATATTTATGTAAAAAATTAAGTTATTATATTTTTTAAGTACCTAGGAAGTACTCATTTATGATTTTGATGAAAGTGTGTTTATTTATTTCTAGTCAGATTGTAAGTTACTTCTTTAGTTTGTTATACCTACATTTATTTACTTATTTCAGTTGATTTTTATGTAAACTAATATCCTAAAATGCCTAATAAAGACTGGAATCATCAATGCAAAATACTTTATGCATGCTGAAGTTTTGGATTTGCCAATGCATGTCAATGTAAAAAGATAATAAAATCTTACGTCAGGAGTTTAGTTTATTTTATTTTAACGTTTGTTTTGTATCAGGATAGTGTTTTTTTTAGGTTCAAAGCGTAGTCAGAAATCAATGTACGTTTTGGTCAAAAGTCCAATTAATTTCAGTTTTGATTGCATAATAAATATTCCTGTATTTTTTGTAACCGAAGTCGGTAAAAATGTTATACCAAGATGGTGGCTGGCCCGGTGTGCATTTACATTTAAACCATTATATTGTTACCATGGAAACCACCAATCAATATTTACTTTTAAAACTCTCACCTCAGAACTTTGAAAGCCTGCGGGACAGAGTCCTAGGTCAATATCGAAGGGGGGGTAGTTCTATATGTACCCTCGGAGCGGTAGCTTCATCTAATTCATAAAGTAGCATAGAATAACACAGTGGTAAAGACGCCGGGTTTTCAAAGTTCCGAGCCCGACACTCTTACCAAGATGGTGGAAATCGGCTTCACTACTGGTATACCGTAGCTGTAGGTATAGGAGTGGCGACTCTATATTTATTCTATGCTCTGTGGTTTCAACCATCACTTACATAATATTGTATATTACCTCAAAATTGCCAAGTTGCATGTTTTCGTGCAGGTGTATGAGCACTGTATAGACCAGATCTGTGTTGCCACTTTCAATAGACTTCACCAGAGCAACTTCCACCTTGTTAAGACTGAGAAGTAAAGGAACTTGAAGTGTGGCCCTAGGTTCATAGTCCAATAACTGAAAAATACCAAAGAATCAATCTAAAGATATAGGTAAGCTATAAGGTGAACAACAAGCTCATCTCATTTTAATAAGGATTCCTATTGATATATAGATGATTCATTAGTAAAGTTTGGATCTTAAACTATAATTTGTGTTGACTAACTGTTTTAACACTGAGTTTTGTTTAAGGATTGGCTCCAGGCCAGGATGTGATTTTTATAATGATGGGTTGACAGCTAGAATACACAGAAAACACACAACATTTCATTCAATGGGGGATTTTTGCAAGTGTAGACAAAGAGAGTTGGACAAAATATGAATTTGATGGCTTTATGACAAAAGATTGAGGAATACAGTTTGACCTAAATAACTCAAATCTGATACCTATGTCAACTGTCTGCTTAGTCAATCTTGCCACCGCCAATTTAGGTTGGTTAATCAAGACTATACTGCAAAATAATATAATAATATAAATAAATAATGCACACTTTACTTTCCGTGTCCGGAAATAAGACTTCGCTTTTCCAAAAATTAGCCACCGATATGGCTTTGTCATTTGCATGTAAAAGATCATCTAATGTGCAAGACTGGTCTGGGCAGATCAGCAGATGGCCAGGATCTTAAACAGCACTACACGCGCACAAGATGTTTTCTTCGTCTGGTAAGAGACCCCATTTCTGCATGTTTGTCTTGCATTTTGGTACCTCGACCCTAATTCGATTTAGGGTCTTCTACACCGTGTAATGAGGGCCTACACCAGAGCCAGTTCCTCCCTGACTGGTATGGGAGGGTTAGTCAACGTGGCCTCCCACCTTGGCATCCGATTGCTTGAGAGTGATCCATCCAGGACTCGTGTCCGTGATAAAAAGCTCTTCCTGGACCGAAGCCGTCGCTCTGCAGGTTGGTGGCCGTGTAATGGGTGACGAGGGTCCGTCTCTTGCTTAGTCCTTTCTGCGTCGGCAGTGGCATCACGTCGGATTGATGGAGGGGCGATCCCTATGATAGGATAGAGTTTGTGTCCTGGGGTTGGTTTCAAACACCCAGTTACAATCCAGCCTCATTGACTGCAATGTCAACCTTTTTTGCATGTGACGATGCATTCCATACTGGTGCAGCGTACTCTGCAGCCGACACACTGAGCACTAAAGCTGAGGTTCTGAGGACATTAGGGTTAGCACCCCAGATATTTGGGTGTAGGACAATTTTGAAGACGGTCTCCCCGCCACCTCACATTCAACTCACAGCCTGCTTCTCTATTGTTTAGGTGAAAGGCACAAATTTGGGTCTTAGCAGGGTTCGGCTTGAGGTGATTTGCGTCATAGTACTGGGACAGTTAATAAATAATGCAAGTAATATAAATAATTAATTCAGGTAGAGCACAAATGAGAGGTTAATTTATGTTGATTTCATTTAGTGATTCCAATACTTCCTCTAAGGGTGGATGGTGATTGTTTCGGCAACTATGTCACCTTCTTTGGATCCTTGTAAAGAAAATCAATCATCATTCATATTGAAGTAATAAAAACATTACGATGTAATCGCCAAAACGGTCGTCATCCACCCTTAGATGAGGTATTAGGAATCACTAGACAAAATCAAGGTAAATTAACCTCTTATATGTTTAAGTGATTTGAGAATAGAATACATAAAAATGAAAGCATAATGAATGATGGACACTAATGGCTTACCTTGATGGCTAGCTCAATTCGCCCGTCATTGATGGCTTCTTTGGCAATGCCAGTGTATGAAACTCCCACGGTACGGCCTAACTTGTCTGCGATCTCTCTCGCAATTTGGTCCGAGTCTTGCCTGCGCTGCTTTACCTGTAACCAGTCAAAAAATACTTGTCACAAGTCAATTCACATACTTTTGTTTAAAAATGGTATACTTTTGCTGGGAACTAGGTGGTAGCTTAGGCAGCTACTGGGGATGTGACAATGAAATAAAAAATATTGTTCTGTATTTTATGAAGACAAAAGGTATAATGTCAGTGGTTGACTACTTTGGTTATCTCTTTGGATTATTCAATAAGGAAAAACAACAAAATTACAATTAATACTGTATTTAGATACAGAATATTAAGTTAGAAGAAACAAGAAATCATACATGTTTTTTTGCAAGGTTTGAAACTCGGTTTTTTCTGAACCTGCTATGACTATAACTATGAATAAAAAAGCAAACCAAAAACGCCACATACTTGAAACAACTATCACTGATATCACTGACACTGACACAAAGTGAGGTTATGTGTATTACGTGTAGTGCCTACATGACAGCTGATCACTGTGTCGCTTGAATTCGTGCAAAGCGTTGCACCGCATGCACTCCTATAAACCGCTCTTGTAATGTTGGTGTGGCGGTAAATTCAAATTTTCTGTCTTTAGTGGCAATTTTGCTTAAACCACGTTTTGGATAACTGGCATTTGGATAATCCGCGCTACACTGTAGTGTCCATGAATTGAGTAGTGTTTACCTTATAGGATGCCCAATGAGTGAGAATGTGGCTGCTGGAGTCTGGTATATGCAGATAATTGACAGCTTGAATTGCTAAAAAATATTGCCTCCTCCTGACTAACATGTCCACAAGAAGTGGTATTGACAAAAGCTGTAATCTGGTCACACCTAAGGAAAATATATGTAACAGATAGGCCTACTCATAATCGATATAAGAAATTTAAAGATGTGATGAGAGTATAAGAACTACAGTAGAACCTCGATAAGACTCTCATTGGGATTATAAAACATGACTTGCTATCATGGTTTCCCTTATATCCTGGATTATTAAGGCCAGAGCAGGGCTACTGTCATTAAATTATCAACCTTGGATAGAGAATAAAAATTACATTTGCTCTCTATGCAATAATAGGCAAATTGAATCAGTGTTTCATTACGTAGCAGTATGCCCAATTCTAAAGAATATCAGATATTTTTGGCTAAAAGCACATTCTTTGAGTGAAGACAAATTCTTTGATTATTTAAATGGAAGGGATTGGCGGGCTTTGGGTGGTTTTTTAAGAGATGCTTGGAGTGTAAGATGGGATCTAATACAGGAGTTTAACTTTTAGACAAATGAAAAAGCAAGTAATCTCAAAAATTATTGTTTCCTTGTTTGTTACTTTTGTTAACAATTTTGTTTATAGATAGATCTTTTAATGTAAAAAAATTTATTTTATGTTAAGTTTATTATTTTATTTTCAGTCTTTTGTCAAGGAGTTACTTTCTGTTATTTATTTAAAACAAAAATTAATGTGTCAACCAAACAGACGGTTTAGTAACCATTGTTTTTGTGTGCACATAAGTATGTATCATTGTGTAATGTTCCAAATTGTACAATAAAGCACATTTCATTTCATTTCATAGTGGTAAAATAAATTCAAAAATTTAAAAATGAAACTTGGTGTGAAGGTTGACTTGATATTGAGAGTCATATTGATGGTTTCACTGTATTTGAGGTGTTTGAATCAAGACTATTTGTGGGAAATTTTGTACAAACAGGAAAACTCAATGTCATGCTCCATATAAATCCAATATACGAAAGCTTAGCGTGAAGGTAGTATAAAATAAACTCTAAGCCAATAGTAGTAGGCTAGGGCACGGAAATTCTTCTTATCTCCTAGAGGATTATGCTGAAACGGACCTATTTTGTTCCATTAATTGAGTTTATTCATTTGCCTATTCTTTTTATATTACCATTATAACTGTTTCTATTTAAATATGTTCTATTTTCTAAATAACCTACTATTAGTGCCTCAAAATGTGCTTAAATGTCAAGTTTTTTTTTCCTTTTCTGAATATTTTTAGGAAATGTAAAAGATCCATACTAAAACAAAATACAAAAAATGATTATTCAATTTACTCAAAGTGAAAAGGATACTGTGCAAATGTGATGGGGATCCCAATTTTTGGATCTCTAACAGCATTCAAAACTCTAAGCAGACGACACATCCTCACATAGGAATCAGGATTAAATTCTGGTAGGAAGCTTTTACCAAACTGGGCAGCCTGCAAAAACATAAGACATTAATTTTATTTCACTATAATTTGTTTCTTCAGTTTTCTATTTGATACACTTGTTCTATGAATTGTGTTTTAGATTGATATGTTAGTTTGAGACAATAGAGTTTTTGAGCTGGGACGAAAATACAAGGTAAATAAACCACTATTAATATTTGTCTTACCAGCTCAGGGGCAAACCACAACAATGAGTTATATGTATAGGTTAGTCTTAGAACTTAGATTAAAATCTATATACTCATGATGGACTTGATACTGACTAAAGTAGATCTAAGGTATACATAATAGAATTTAAGATCTAATAACATGCATTTAATACTAGTAATACACACTTTTATTAACATTTTCTGATGGCTTGGATTGAACTCATGTCCTGCTGCCTCGACACACTGTCCAACAGCCATGGCGAGCTTTGGCCTCACCAAGTGGATGTACTCATTTGCTCTGTGACTTTTTTTCTATAAAAGAAAATCAAATTATACACCATACAGATTTTAAGAAAAATTATGTCAAGATCAGAATTGGAAAGACTCTATTTTGGCAGCAAAATACCACTAAAGACATCAAAACCTGAAAATTCAGGTTTTTTTTTTTAATTTGGGAAAGGATATACTAAATAACATTAATACTATCAGTGCATATAGCCTACAAATTTAATTAATGTGTAAATGAAAACAAATACAAGTATGACTAATATTTTTGTAATTTTTTTTTTTTTTTAAGAGGTTGGCGGTGGGTAATTAATTTATTATCCTTTTTAATCCTTTAAACTTAAATGCTGTGCTATATGGGATTGTACAACAGATGTAGGCTTAGTATGTTCAGTATGTGCACAAAAAGTTATGTCATGATTGTGAATTATATTTGTTTAACACGTTGAGTACTACATCTATTGATGTAGTGCGTCAAAAGAGCTCCACTATATCAATAGATGTAGTCGTGCAACTCTCACTACATTAGTTCAGCATGAGCTCAGCCATTGCTGACGTTACCATTGCTGAGAACGTTACAATGGTTGCCAGCCTGTAGCTTAGAATGCGAGCTTTATTTTGGTGTAGGTTAGTACTAAAATTTCCTGTAAAATCCCGTCTGGCAATGCGTTTGTCCCGGTTTCGGGGATTTTTCACTTTTTGAGCCACATTACAAAGACACTGGCTACGGATCCAGGTCTTGCTGCTACTTTTAGGTGTTTCAGTGTACTACATTCACTCTTGGAGTAACGCAGCACAATCACCGCTGCTCTTTTGTGGTTTGTCAGACTGAAATATTTGAATGCCAATTCCGTTTGCTAATTCAGTTGCACGCAGGGTGTTCGCCTGGGCCTTGCCGCCTTTGGCGAGCGCCTTTGTATAGGTTTTCAGCACTTAACGGGTTAAAATGGTATTTCTATTCCACATTTTGAGATATTATTAATTTGATAGTCTTCAAGTATAGTATAGTCCTATAGTTTTATTTGTGTGTTCTCCAAACAACTCTTGATCTAAAACATAGATCAGTTGATGTACTTTTGTATTGTATTTAAAATAATTATGCTTATATGTTAAATTAAAATTAACAATAAATTCTTATTATTTAACCCTAGAGTACTAAGTTAGTACTCTAATAGTAGTAGTAGTAGCCTATCGGTATATCACGAGAGCTCGCGCAGGGTTAAGATTCACCCCATAAATTTGATCAATAAAAGACCAAACAATTTATTTGGAACACATTACAAACCTTATTGTCACCTGTATTAAACGTATATACACATTATAAAGTAAAAACTCTCAATAGAAAAGCTTAATGTTTACCTCTTAAAACAGTCAATACAAGTTTTCTATTTCATGACCTTGCAGATGCTTTTACCACGATAAGCACAGCAGGCAGTGATTTTTAGGTCTGAATTTATTTATCGGACAAAAATCGCATATGCCATTATTGGGAAATATTTTTAACAATTGGTTCTCATTTCGGTGGCGTAAAGCCAGCTTTATCTGTGGTTTTAGGTCTAAAAAATTATCCGTTTCTTAAGGGAACCGTTCAATTTGTTTTTAAAAGAATATTTAAATAAAATATTGATTGTCGGTCACAAAGAAAATAAGTAGGCCTATTCATAAATATAATCAACTATACACTCAATAATGTCCACTTTTTTCCTGGATAGGATTCTACGGTTTCTTAATGTAGAATCTTCTGGCGAAGACCGTGTCAAGAATGACAAACCACTAACAATCACCGACGTTTCGGCCTTGATATAGAGCCATACTCAGAGCAACTTGACTCCGCACAGATGACTGTAAGCTCCACTTGATTTGTCATCTGTACGGAGTCAAGTCATCCTCATATTTCACTGCCACCGTCGGAAAGTAAAAAAAGGTCAAAGTAGGCTAGCCAGTGACAATAAAATATTTTGATTCTTTTACATAGTACAGTATATAGATTTTTTATATTTTTAGCCTCTGAATGAAGTTTAATCAAATATTGACAAAGCCTGTTAGTAATTTTGAGTAGTCTTATAGACGAGTCAAAATAAGGAAATTTATTGCACAACCTTAAAAAAATTGCTACAAATGGTTTTGTATCGTTAATTTATTCTAATTGGTATATTAAAAAACATAGTAAAAGTCTAGGAAAATCGGAATCCCGGAAGTGGGTTATTTTCAAGATGGCGCCTAAATTTTCCAGAAAGTACAGATTTTAAAAGTTATTATTGTATAAAAGGCACATTTCTTATCAGATTGTTTTACAATTTGGTTTAAATGTAAAAAACAAATAATTTAGTATATTGAAGCGTTATTACTAATGGTAAGGTTGCGTTTAGCCTAATGGTTACGAAAAGATTTAAAAAATTGTAAATTTTAATTCCCATGAACATATTTTGATTAAATTTGGAAAATACATTCATTTGTTACTAAACTACAGTATTAACATTTTACAACAAAAAACACATTTTTACCCTCCCTGTTGCAGCAAACCTAAGTACTTGTTAAATTAATTCTATTTAAATAGGGAATAAATGTGATGTTTTTAAGGAGACATTTTAGTGTAAATTCAATCAGGCAAAGGGAAATTTGCTAAGTCTGCAGGTTTGCTGCAGCGGGGGTATTTAAATGTGTATTATTGCTTTAAATTAGTTTTTAATCCGTTATAGTTTAATTTTAGTGGATAATTATTATTCATGTATTCCTTCGTTCTCCCGTATCAAAAACTGACTAGGCCTGGTGCTCTTATGCAATTTTCTGTATATTATGGCTGATATAACGATTTTCAGCCAGCTTGCCCCATTTTTACAAACAACTAATCGTTAAATATGAAGTGGTTGAAATCAGACAAAAAGGTGCGTCAATATGTCCACCGAATAAACGCGGCTAGTGTTCGAAGAGGGGACACCATAGTAGAGGTCCCTGGAAATAAGGTGCATACAAGTTGTCGTAAGATATACACTAAAACAAAAAGATATAGAACTACACTTGAAGGTTAAAGTAAAAAGCAATAATTGAGGCAGCAGCAATATTCATAAAAAAAATGGTATTAAGAGAAAGGTACAATCATATACAATAATATAGAGAAAACCCCCACCACAGATGACATTAATGTTCAGTCGGCTTTAAATTAAATACCTGAATCACTTAGAATTTTATCATAAACAACGTTTGTTGGTAAAGACAACCATCAAAAGGTTGCTGGCATCGGTCAGTCGATTATTCAGGAAGTCCGCAAACGAGCGCTAGTTGATCCTTTACAATTATCCATTTCTGTACAAATGCATAATTTATTTAAGACCAGATTTCTAAAAACAAAAAGACACTTTAAATAAATTGGAGTTCTGCTCGTCGTATAGTGAAATGTAAAGATTTGGAAAAAAATGATACTAATGTTATTGCCCCAAACACGAGGAAATAAAATATTCAGCTTTGTTAGCAGCAGACAATGTTGACCACAATATTTCAACTCTCGATGTAAAAGTAACGTTTCATGGAATGGAAATGATAGCTGCCATTACACTAGGCAAGACCACACTAGTGTAGCCTTGCACCAGGACAGAAGACAGTATTTTATAGCAAGGCGTCACTAAGCTGAGTTGAATATTGCTGTATTATTGAAAGTGCCGATATTTGTTTAATCTTCAGAAAATAATAATAGGTATATTCATAAAACATAAGTTTTACAGATTCCCTTAATTTTCCCTGAATGTAACAAGAAGATTGATATTTTTTGGGAACTGTCTTTCAAATTGGCTGCCCAAGGATGGCATGGTTTGATGCACACTATTTATAAAGGAAATGGATACCCAGGAAAATCGTCTGTCAGGTATTTGCCAATGATAGATATGTACTCTGCAGACAAATGATGTATTCTTTCCACAGTGAAATTCCCATGTGTTTCCAGAAAATGTCAAAATGGGACCTTACCTTACAATCATGTACCAAAATATTTACCACTCCAAACCAGACCACAGAGCTCACTGATGACCTTGGTTGTAAGGCCAAGTCCATTTTATATGATGGTACATGTAATGGTTTCATAGGAAAATTGCGATACAATATATTCAGAAAAAAGGTCGTTACCACTTCTTAATTCGTAAAGCCGGAATCACCTCCGCCGACTGAATGTGCCTCAAAACTGCATTGTCGCAGAGGGTATTACCAGATTCAGGTATGGACGGGAAAGGAAAATGAGGTTTATCCTTTAAAGTGGGACTGGAAGATCCAGAACGACCGATTCTACCCAATAATTACAACAAAGAGTGTTGCACCAGAGAGTCATCAGTGTTGAAGGTCATTGAATTGTAACTGTTCTACCAATTGTAAAACCTTAAGATGTTCCTGTAGATAGTATGGCCTTCCTTGCACAACAGCCTGTGGTACATGCCAATTTGAAGAGCGTGACAATGTGCAGAACATTTCATGTTCGATAGAGTTAGATGAAGACGAAGACGTTTGAACAAGTTTTAACAGAGCAGCCCATTTACTATATCAACATTGTAATGAATTGTATATTTGTTGAAATATTTATGTTAATAAAGTTTAAATGTCTTCTTGCACATTGTGTACATCATTTTGTGTTATTAAATGGCTATTTAGATTGAAAATCAAAAAATAAGTGTTAACAAATATTCAAGATACCTTGATTTACTTATTTTTACAGGAATCTTCGACGCCATCTTGGAAATTACCCTTTCCGGAGGCCCGATTTTCCTAGACTTTTATATTTTCATTGACAGGTATCTATTAAAGTAAAATTCAACAAAAAATCATTTGTAGCAATTTTTTTGGGGTGTTTGCATAACTTTACTCGACTATTATTTTTAAACAAGGCTACTACTGTTCAGTGTTTTAATTCCTTATTTTTATAATGCCTCTTTAGCGTTCATCATACAAACCTGGAACTGTTGAGAAGCCTCTAGTAGGTAAGACCCAGGACTGGTGCTATTTATCCTGAAGATGTCTACGACCACTTGCGGCACCCTCTGGATAATCTCGTGTGTGGTGGCTGACACAACCCTCAAACAGTCTTTCTCTTGTATCAGATGACTCGTACAGTCCATGGTAAACTGAAGGTTGTCCTCTCTGCAAGGGATTACTTCTAGGCTAGTGTCACAGTTGAGAACTACACCTTGTTCTCCACACCTGAAAGAAAATAGATAATTAAAATTGTATCATACCAGAGATAGAGGATTAAAATTATATCAAACCAAAGATAGATGATTAAAATTGTATCATACCAGATATAGATTATTAAAATTCATACACTGTATCACCCTGTATAGATATATAAATAGCATTAATATCTCTATTAAATTACAGTCAGTCTGAGGCAGTGCTAGAGGAAGGTTGTGTTTTCCTTGTTATTCGCTACTACTAGTTTTGAGGTAATATCAAGATGGATTGTGGTCAGTGCACTGATAGTATTTTGGACATGAACGATTTAATTACTTGTTCAGTACTTAACTGTAAATCTAATTATCATTATTCATGTGCGGGAATAAGTAAATCAATATTTAGAAAAATGACACTTATTCATAAACAGGAATGGAAATGTCTAAAATGCAAGTCAGGGAAAAAATGTGTTTTAAAAAAGATGTTTCTGAAGATAATGAAGAAAATATTACAGAGGTATTTATAAAATGTATGAAAGATGTGTCCAAGCAGCTACAAATTCTTCCAACACTAAAGGAGGATTTAGATAAAATTAAAGAAGACAGCAAGAAAGTTATTAAAAGTCAGCACTTCATAAGTGAACAGAATGGGGATATTATCCACAAGCTGGAACTAGGAACTTCTACCGAAACTGGAAGAAAAGGTGGAGCAACTACAGTTGGCAATTCAGCGGAAGGATGAAGAGATTCACGATTTGAGTATGCGTCTAAGCCAATTAGAGCAATACGGCAGAAACAAAATCTAGAAATCAATGAAGTAACTGAAAACAAGAAGGAAAATGTGAAAGAAATAGTTGTGAAACTTGCTGGGAAAATGGGAGTGGACATCACAGAGGATGACATCGAGGCTGCACACCGTCTACCATCAACTCGGAGGGACAACAGACCTGCGACCATCATCGTCCAGTTTGCCGGGAGGAAGAAGAGGGCAGCTAGGCGGAAGGTTGTGACAAACAACCAGGTGACAGGACTACCAAGCGGCCAGACCTTTGTAAGTGAAAACCTTACTGTTTACTATAGAAACCTATTAAAAGAAGCTAAGAAAAAAGGAAAGGATCTAAGATACGAGTTCATCTGGTTTAAGTATGGTGCGGTTAGGCTTCGTAAAGAAAAGGAGAGTGATGTGTTAGTGATTAATGAGATGTCTGACTTAGCTAAGATTAAGTGAGAATTTTCATTCCAGGGTTAAAAATAGAACCAAAATAAATAATATTAAAAAGGAGATTAAATATGGATCAAGATATTGTTTTTACTGAGGAGAATAAATCATATATTCACTTAAATTTTGCCCAGTTTGAAAAATCAGCTAAATTACAAAAATATGACCTTGGGATGACAGTTCTACACTTGAATATTAGATCTATTAGAAAGAATCGGGATCAATTTGTTGCTTGTTTTGGCTCTTGTTTAAATTTGATTGATGTAATTATTCTCACTGAAGTTAATATTAAGAATGAGTTATCTGATATGTTAAATCTGTTTAGTATAGAAAATTACAAGAAGTATTTTAATCCAAGGGAAGAAAAGAGGGGTGGAGGTATTTTAATCTTTGCCAGAAAAGATATTTTGGTGCATGGGGTATCAACCAACAGTACAAATTTTGAAAGCATGCTCATTGATATTAAAATGAAAAGTTTTGAAACTAGCATTTTAGCCACATATAGACAGCCAATTTTTGATGAAGCAGGATTTATTACAGAATTAGATAGAATATTACAGAGTATAAAAGGAAACATAATAGTAATGAGAGATATGAATTTAGATTTAAGAGATTTACATAAGAAAAAAGTTAAAGATTCAAGCTTAGATTCTTACATAATTGTTATACAAGGGAGGAAGTAAGAGGAGGAAAACTAACACAAACATGTTTAGACCATCAGGGCTGAACTTACCTAGGGGCGGATGGGGCGGGCGCCCGGGGCCCCCAGACCCAGGCGCCCCTTCTCAATAAGTTAAAAAATTAATTAGGCGCTTACCGAATGGTCTCTCTCGTTTTGCGTAGTTGAAAATTATGATCATGGGAAACTAATACGAATACCGGAAATTGCAGCGATTGCAAGAAATCATGACAGCCTTAGCCAGATAATGGTCACAACAAATTGTCACGAGTATTGAGATAATGGTGGTCGGTGGATGTTGCCGTGATCACGAGAATCATCACAAACTACGTCGAGATCCCAAAAAAATAGTCACAGGATTTGAACATACCAACTAAAAAGTATACTGTTTTTCTTATAATGAAAAACAGATACGATCGCGGCAAAACCCGATTGCGGGGTTTGCCACAATCGTGTAAAATCATCACAGGTGTTGTCCCGATTGCCGTGGTTGAGTAAAATCATTGACTTTATTAAAGGGGTTCACATGGTCGCTTGGAAGATAAACTAAGAAGATTACACAACTACTAAGATTACGGAACTGCTGTGATCGTGGGGAATCATCACGGATGTTGACACGATTGTAGGAAATTCCCCCATATTTAAAAATTTTGGGGCGATTTTTATATAAGAGCACCAATACAGATATCCAAAATCGCGAGAAATCATCGTGGATGTTGCTGCAATCAGGGAAAGCACCATGGTTGTTTCCGAAAAAGTGTTATAGGATGAAGTAATTAACTTTTCAAAGTTTTTGCATTCTCACTTATTTACCTTAATTAATTAATTTTAGTTATTTGTTCAAGTTTTTTCATTCAAGTCCCAAATAAAGTATGTATTGCACCAGATTTAAAAAGTATGGTATTACAGTGAAAAATAAATTTTAAATAATAATCCTTAGGCCTACTTTGTGCTATTTTATTTTTTATTTTGACTGAATTTTTTTATAATTATTTGTTGAAAAGGATATTACACTTTAATCTTTGACTATTGAAACAATTAGACTTCAGTATCCAATAGTCAATGGTTTAATGTAGTATTGCAAAGGAATTTGCAAGGTACCTGCTTATGTGGTATATTGAATTTTAATAAATACAGTTACAACAAACCATAAAATCGTACATTGAAAATATTTTAACAGTTAAAATATTATATAAAATTACTTTATACAAAATGCAACATACTGATATTCTAACATGTTTAAATTTTATTTTGCCATTACATTCCTTATAATAGTTCAAATCAGTGTGCATGCAAGACACATTATATTGTGTATATAATGGATATTCATGCTGGGGGCCCCATATTGGCAGATTTGCCCGGGGCCCCTGAAGCCATAAGTCCTTCCCTGTAGACCATGCATTCATTAGAGTTAAAAGAGCGAAGGTCAACTTAGATGTAGTTCAGACTAAGATAGCAGATCACTACACCTGTGTTATCAATGTCCAGCCTGACAACTCCTGCAAAACTGATAAGACAAAACAGATAAATACAAATAAATGTGGCTATATTGGGACAGGTATTGGGGCAGATGGACTGGCTGTCTATAAAATGTTTATCTGATGCATCAGAGATTTATAATAAGATAAATTTAAACTTTAATGAAGCCTATGATATTAGTAAAATTATTGTATCAAAACCAGTTAAATCTCCCAATAAACCATGGATATCTTTTCAAATAGTAAAACAGATTAAAGAGCGTGATAGATTATTTAAATTGTACAAAACACATCCAAACAATAATAATTATAAAGAAAGATATAGGGTAGCAAGGAATAAGGTGGACAAAGAAATCAAAAAAGCAAAACAAAGGCACTTCTACAGTTTATTTTACAATAATCAAAATAATATTAAGGAAACTTGGAGTCAGATAAACTAAATTTTAGGTAGGGGCAAAGTGGATAATATTGATGAAAGTATAGTTAAATATCTAGGAAAGCATAAAACAGAACTTGAAATATGTAATGCATTTGCAGATAAATTTACTAGAGGCATATATTCAATAATACATAACTGTCAGCATAAAACACTAGATACCTTAGGACAAAATGAGTGCATAGCATCGTTGTATATACCTAAAATTAAGAGAAATGAAGTTGTGAGTTTACTGCAGAGAATGAGAAAAAAAGGACCCGGCCACATGCTTAAGATTGCAGTTATAAGACCAATCTATAAATCAAAGAGACATGATGACTATTCAAATTATCGTCCCATATCGATCCTCCCCTCCCTTGGTAAGATATTAGAAAGGTATGTTCCAAATAAACTAATAAAACATCTAGAAGATAATGGAGTGATACATGAAAGTCAATACGCATATCAAAGAAAACGAGGGACAAATGAGCTGTTGTTAGAATTTTCAGACTAAGTAAACAATTAATTGGGCCAGGGAAAGCAGGTATTGGTGATTTTTATTGATTTTAGTAAAGCTTTTGATACCCTAGAGAACACAATAAAATTTATAAAAATGGTTTATTTGACCTCTTTGCGTCGAACGATCCGTGTGTAGTTAGTACAACTACAGCTGTTTCATACCACTAGGGTACATCTTCAGGTTGTTGGTAGAACGTTAGATAAAACAGCATTCATTCATAGATGAACTTGTCGAAATAAATATCTCTACATACACAAAATACACAAAAAACATTTAAATAACACAAATTTACGAGCTTGGCCAAGTGACGAACACACGAGACAGGCGGCGATGGATGTTGCGTTATGACTGCTGGCGTGTGTCCAAGCATCAGCTGTTACCCCTCCCCCCCAACTCCTTTATCAGGACCAGTTTTGTTTTGGTTTAAATGAATGGCAGTATTGTAGATGATATTAGATCTGAATGAAATTTGTTCGTTCAATATATGGTCAGGGTGTTCTTTGGATGCCTTGTATATTTCAAACTCCTCTATTGTGTCCATGTATCTGCCTTTATTACATAAATGCATAATTTCTAAATTACTATGTATGTCTGTGTAGTTGTGGTTTGCGTTAATTATGTGGTTGGCGAATGCTGATTTTGAGTTCTTTTTGGGTAGGTGTTCTTTCAACCTAGTGGCGAAAGAGCAAGCAGTTTGGCCGATGTAAAAGCTCGGGCAATCGTTACATTTCATTTTGGAAATACCTTGGGAAATACATTTTGGAAACACTTTGGAATTACAACTCAAGGCAAATGTTCTTTATTTAGCCTAGAACAACAAATAAATATTCTAAAAGAACAAGGGAATATTTAGTTCCATTCTTGTTAAACAGTTTACCGGTACAGCTGAAGAATATATGTTACTGTAGAGTTTTAAAGAAGAATTTATATCTAGATTTGAGTTAAAGATAACTGATCTTAAATAAAGCTATCCTCTACTCAAAGAACAATGACTTAGCAATAAACCCCACAAAAACTACAAATCTGAATTTCAGTAAGAAAAAAGACATAGTCCCTCAATTAGAGGATGTAACAATAGAAAACCACACAAAATTTCTCGCTGTTATCCTTGATAACAAACTAACATGGAAAGAGCACAGCAACCACCTAAGAAAAAAAATCAGTACTGGGGACTCTCTGTGGCCAAAACAGCTTACTTCGCACTGGTAGAGTCGCATCTTAGATATGGCTTGACAGTGTGGGGAGGAACTTCAACAAAAAATATGAATCGAATCCTTGTTCTTCAAAAGAAAGCCATAAGAGCCCTCGCCGACCTTGTCCCACCACAGACTTGCAGACTAGCATTCGCAAACCTAGGAATCCTCACAGTGGTGTCTCTCTACATACTTGAAACCATAAAGTATGTGAATGAAATAAACCCCCCAAGAAACCAAGATATGTACCACTACAACACCCGTCATGGCTCCAAACTTGCCCTACCAGTTCACCGAACAACTCTTTGAGAGAAAAAACCTTCCTACACCGGCTGCAAACTGAGGAACCATCTACCGGTACCTGATTACCTGAGAGACCTGACTGGCAACAAGCTACACCAGGAGTTGAAGAAGTGGCTAATCGCAAGACCCTTCTACTAAAGAAAGGAATTTTATGAAAATTATGGAAATTAACACGTACAATTCACTATTGTATTGACACTATTGTAATTCTTAACGAATGAACAATAAAGAATATTGTATTGTACTGCGTTTAATATTTTATCATTATTGTTCACTGTTCCAAATGTTTATTATTGTTACTTTTTTAATAGTTTATTCACTGTTCACTGTTCTAAATGTTTATTATTGTTACTTTTTTAATGGTTTTAAATCCGTTTATTACTGTTACCTTTTTCATTGTTTATTAATAATTGTTAAAATCTGTGATTAAATTCTATGATTGGTTTGGTATATTATTGAATTCTTACAGAAAAACAAGGGAAACAAAAGACTGATTGAAAACAAAGACTGATTGAATAAAAAAACACTGTGAAATAACAAAAATTAGAATAATTGCTGCAGACAAGCCATATTGGTTATTGTGGCTGAGTTGTATGTGTTTTATATTTTTTGGAAATAAATAAATAAAATTTAGAGAGCGACCTCAATATGATAAATCCCACAGGACCTAACACAAAATTTGACATATCAAGTATTCCGTTACACTGAGGTTCAGTAATTTGAATTCAGGTGATCCAAAAATTTGTTACATCAAGGATAATTCTTTAGCAAAAGGTACAATTCAAAACTTTATCTATTTGGTAAACACAGTTTAGTTGTTCATCCTGTATATATATTTATATTTTACATATCTTATCTCAAATTACATTTTTTGTTGGGTTTATCAAAAAGCGACAAGTTAAATTTTGCGCCAGTAGCTGGCTGATAGACGTGGACCTATTTTGAACTAAAAGTCGGCTTCAGGGTCTACGCTATAGGTATAGGAATTAGCAGTCTATAATATTTCTTGGTAGCTGGTTTGTGGTTGCTACTGACCATGCTATCTGTTTGATGTTGAAGTTGCGTACATCAAGTAGCCGGTAGTTGTGTCGCAAGTCCACGGTGCCAAGCCACAGTTTGCCTCGGTCCGTCAGCAATGCCACACTCTGACTGGTGGACGAGACAGCCATCTTGACTACGACACCTGCTCCTTCGTCTCCCAGGTCTACATGCTAAAGACAGAATGGACCTCTGGATAATGTTCGATATTATCGTTTAAGCCCCATTTTTTTACAATACAATTAGGCCTACCAAAGTTTCAGGAAAATACCTAGTGCAACAAACCTGTAGACCAAGCAATTTTCCATTTCCCTCATTGGATTCTTACTCAAATATTTCCTTATACATGTTGGATTTTTTCCTTATTAAAAAAGTTAAGTTTAACGAGTACTTACTTAGGTTTTTAGCAACAGGGAAGGTAAATGGTTTTTTTGTGAAATGTTAAAAGCTTAGTATGAAATAAGTAAATTATATCAAAATATGGGACCCATAAACAATCAAACTAGGCCTGCAACAATTAATGTACTTATTACCTATAAGAATAACAAGGGTAAAATGAGTGAAAGACGCAAATACCACTTGACAAAGATAACTATCAATAATGATAATAGTACGAGGGGCGTTTTTAAGTAAGGCCCTATTTTACGTATAACGCCGATGTTCGCATGGACGTCATGAGGCAGCTTGCCACTTATTGGCATAATTGTTAAACAGGATGGTGTCATTTGCAGCTCTGTAGCTGACATGTAAGCTTCGCTGTTAGTTTAGACAATTTTTAAAATTATTAAATCCCTGCCGCATGCAAGATAAGGTCAGTGATATTTTTCTGACCACAAGAAACATATCACATACCGATAATTATCGACAGTTGACTGAGGGTTATGACCTTACTGCAATGAGTGAGGGTAAAGTGCATAAATGGGCCAGGGGGTGTAAAATGGCCATGAAAGTTGTTTTGATTTGTGCTCTTCAGTGAGAAGTCTGGGTACCCACCAAAAGCACAAATTCCTTCCCAATTGGACATATAAGGGCAATTTTTGAACTCCCTAACCCAGTTCTGCACTTCACCCTCACTCATTGCATTAGAGCCATAAACTTCAGTCATCTGGTGATAAATGTCTGCAGCTGATATGTTTCTTGAAGTCAAAAAACATATCACTCACCACTCACCCCATCTTGCTTGCGTCAGGAGATTCAATAATTTTAACATTGTTCTAGACACACTGAAAAATGTACATGTCAGCTACAGAGATGCTTATAGTTAGAGATGCTTCCTAAAAGGTTTTTCTAAAAGGTTGTCCTATCACATGTTACTCTAACAGAATTGGACCTTTCCCTTCTGAAAATTTGTAAAAACATCAAGGGGTAAAACCTGCTGGATTTAGATTAAATTAAACATGTTTCAACAAACCTGTATCGTGGCCCTTGACTCCGCTTCACTAAGGGAATATATCTCAGGACCAAGAGCCAGCATGACCCTAGTGTGTCTCTCTTCGCACACTAACGCCCAGGCGCTCGGACCTAACTGCATACCTACAACCACACACAAAGTCATCCAAATGAAATCACATTGTTCCATAAATTTAGCTCCTCTATTGCAAAGCCCTTCTAGGCCTCTCTAGTTAAAGCATAAAAGGGTCAATGAGCAAAATGATCATCAATACTGCCACAGCAGACTACATGTAGAGTTTTGTAAAGAAATATTGGATCTATTCTATGAAAATATTTTGAGTAAAATAAAAACACGATGAGAAAAAAAAACATTTACTGTTAAATTTTTAATTTTTACATAATTTTGGATTAACTTGTGCAAAATGCCACAGGTTTGTAAAAACCCTGACTACTGACTAGATTTCACAAACTCATGGTTACCTACATAAATCAAATCATTGACTAAACGCCAAATGCGCTCTTGGTTCTTGAAAGGCAATAAGATAGATAAGGTCATCAATAGTAATTACAAGTGGAATAGGAATAGCACACTTGACAGGAAGTGATCGGAGGACAGGTTGTAGAGCAATACAACATTTGTGAAGCCGTAGTGACTTAATGGATAAGGGTTAAAAAATCTAAGTATGGCTGTAAAATAAAGGGACAGGTTTTCTAAGAGACAAAAGGCATGAGCCTGAAAGCCAAACACCATATTGCCTGGGCCACTTGACATCCCCCTCCACATTCCAACACGTTTGAGAACACTAGGCCGCAGCTTCATTTGCATCGCATCGTGTATTTGCATTTTTTGGTAAATAGTAGGCGTTATGATTGAGTAACGTGTTAACGTGAATTTTTTTGCTTGGTAACAGTTTGAAAGTTTAAACACTCTTAAAAAGGCTCTAAACTGTTTTGGGTGTTTTTTTACAAATATTCCTCAACATCTCAGAACAAATCTCCATTTGTCAGTGATTTGTTCAGGCGTGAGGATTTTGGGAACCATTTTATATTGAGTGAGTTTTCTCGTGTTGAAATGTTCTTGTGTCAAACTGATTCTTTGAAAATTCCTACAGTCTAAGGAACTGCACGGATACTCAAACAACGATCTTGACAGATGACATTGCCTATTTCCTAATTCCTGGGTGCGGATCATCTTTGATATCTTCTCTTTAGTCTTTGAAACGCTTATACCACTCAAAATCCTGTGTACAAAAATACATTGATCCCCCTACACTTGATTTATGATGGAATTAGGCTCTGATAAGGACTTCACAACAAATTTCCTATTGAGACATTGCACTATTATACCATTTTCCGGCAAGCGGCCAATACACGGTCTGACACAAATAAAGAATGTGTCAGAACTAAGTGACCTAAGGTCATCAAACCAGCTGTAAAGTAGAGGGGGGATGTCAGGTGACTCGGTATGGCATTTGGCTTTCAGGCTCATGCCGTTTGTCTTTTAGAAAAACAAGTCTTGTTATTTTATAGCCATATCTTATATCAACTCCGTTTAGTTCTGGATAGCCTTAATAACCAAAAAATCTGTTTCAGCAAATAAAAATATTCCAAAGCTAAAAAATCAGTCCTTTGTATGATTGGAGGAGGAGCATTCTAGACCCCTTGTAAGGACTTGAGAAAGGACTTGACGAAACTCTCGGGCAAAATTTCTTCCTGGTTCTACTTTGGGTGCAGTGTAAGAATAAGAATAAGAAATATTTATTCCCATTAATCTTTACAAAAGAAATAGGACACATCATTTGTAATACATAGAAATCAGAAATCAGAAATCAGAAACGTTTTATTGTCCTTCAACATTTACAACAAATGCAATAGACAAAAGTCAAGAAAATTCAGCTATTACATAGTTACAAGGTGATTCAGTGTTTACAGTACAATATATCTAAATTTAAATAACCACTTACATGAAAATAAAAGCTTTATTTCAACTTACTCTTCAAAATCTAATATTTATTTCACAACTTAAAAAATCATCAATTTTGTAAAAGGGGGTTTTAACAATCCAGTCATACAGTTTATTTTAAAAAATACTGTAAGAAACCAATTTTGCTTCTTCAGGCAGCTTATTAAAAAACATTGTACAATTTAATTTATGTGAATGTTTGGTTTTTGCCAATTTTTGCTGCAATATATCTATTTTATCCTTACCTGCATGAATCAAGCTAAAAAACTAAATGCTCATGGTATATTTTTGTTATCATCATAGCTATGTAGGACAAACTTAAAACAACCTGTTTCAATCGTTACCAGAATAGTTAGCTAATTTGTAAATCATCAAACCTGGTATTTCAGCTAGGAGCCTCGTTTTTGGTTCCTTGTAATTGTTGACTATGAAGATACGATGTGCCATAGTCAACACTGCGACTCCAGTCCCTATGGCACTTTCAAACACTTGCGCTGCCGTAACACGGGTCTCTTGAACATCCTAAGTAAAATAATTTGATTATAAAATTGCACTCATCCTACACTCATCCTACACTCATCCTTCACTCATATTTGGGGTAAAATACGCACATAGTGGCGTCCCCATCTTAAATAATTGATAATTGATAATTGATAATTGCATTACTTAAAAACAAAGGTGACTTGTGTAACTATTTAGACCTTAGTCTACATACACGTAACATTCAACATCACTGTTCTATGCTCCTACCGATCAAGCTCTTGTGTAACTATGTAGGTACCCCAAAGATTCACAGAACACAGAAGATTGATATTTTATAGCAATGCTGTAATTTGTAAAGGGATGACAATAATTTTCTTGTATTGTTCACATTTGGCTCAATGAATCAAATACGTTTCAGTTTTACATTTATATTTTATGGGAAGTGGCAAACTCTAGATCTAGGTTGGCAATAGCTTATTGTGCATGTGTTAATTCTTAGTTCAGAACTAACCTTCCCCATACTGAAAGTACGCTGATAATTGGAAAACATATCGTAGACCAAAACCATTCCATCTTCCTGTACACATAGAAGTTCTTCTGACGTAGACCAGCCGAGCTGCAAAACATTGCCACTATTCCACTGCAACATCAAACATATCACTCGGTCAACGAGAAGGTATTTGAAAATAATCTTTTAACTGTGGTAATAAAAACCTAATGACCTTCGGTACGTTAAGAGACCGTTTCTTATTGCATATGGTTATCCAATATGAAAAACCTAACTGATGACGTTATATTAGATTTAAAATCAACACTAAAGAGTAAAGTGTACCAGCGTCAAATGAAGCCATTATGAATTACGCAAAATATAGCCTAAAAATATGTGTAAATAGGCAGTCAATTTGAAGCTGAAAATAATTTCAAAATAATTTTTAAAAAAAATTTGAAATAATTTAAGCTATAAAGCTGGAATGTGGTTTGACATGCATGAATTAGAATAGTGCCCATACTACTGTATGCATACTATTTAATATGTATTTATAGGCTAGCTATAAGTACTTTAACTAAGCGTCTGACTTTGTATGTTCTATTTATATTCACACTAAAATATCCATTTTTATGTACCACAGCATTATGTAAAACAAAAGCATTATTCACCGCCTAGTAGGGATTAAGAGCTGTTGACAGTATTACAGTTATTAATCTCTAAGAAATAAAGGATCACATGCTTACCACAAAAGTAGAAATCAGTTTTCCAGAGGAGCTATAGATTGCAATTACTGGTTTTCCACTGCCTTGTACTTTGACCAACTTGGTTCTGTCCCGCATTACAGCAATAGGACCACCATTCGGAGAACATGTGAGAACTGACGACTCAAGTGAAACCTCTCTCTGCCATGACATATTATACATTTCAAATTTCCTGCAACAAGATTATGTGTTTTTTAAACAGTTTTACCCGGGTAAACGTACGGGTTTCATTACTTACTACTGTACTGTAGCCTAATGAGTTTTTACTGGACACCAGCTGATGGCGTCAAATATCGTACGTCACTTGTCCAAAATGTGTTTACCAGAGTCATTCGGTAATCCCGCACTCGACTTTGTCTTGCACAGGAGCTACCACACTCGTCCAGTAGTCAACTGTTTTAGGACTAGTAACGTAATATACTATTACACATCCTTTTACAACTACAGTACAAAGTCTCTCAACCAAACTACTTTTAACTTTAAACATCATTATGCATCGTATACTGATTTCAACGTAAGGAAGGAAAAACCAAGTGCCTGATTTAAGAATGGTGGCATGGGGTTCGGGGTTTGGCCGTTGACCTAAGATAAAGATGTTGTTGAGATCGTTCTCCCAAGTAAACAAAAAGAAATGTGAATGATTATGTAGCTGGGTGTATCCATGACACCTCCAAAGCCTTAGGGGTAGGCCTTAACATTTCTTTATGTAGGAGTAGGCAGCTATTTTATGTAGGCCTACCTACGGTTCAAGTTTTAGCGAATTTCCCATATAGGCCTAGGGAATAAGCTATACTGCTATTTACTTTGTCGTTTTGAAGTTCCAAGAGGCCAAAAACACCATCCGTTCAAATTCATATATATATATATATATGTCAAATAAATATATCAACATAATATATAAAAGGCAAAGCCCTCACTGACTGACTCACTCACTCACTCACTCACTCACTCACTCATCACTAATTCTCCCACTTCCCATTTACCTAGGAGGCTGAAATTCGGTACACCGATTCCTTGGGCATTAAATAGGAAAACTAAGTAGTTTTTATTCTGATCGGGCTTTCGGGCTCTACCCCAGTGGCTCTGAAGTTTCCCATGATAACCTTAGATTTTTCATATTTAAAAGGAATTTCTTAACAGCTGTTTCAATTAAACAAGTTGGTACTGTTCTATGATGTTCAATAGCATTAAAGTTACAAGGATTTTTTTTTATTTTTTTTATTTATGACTACAGCCAATTTGCAACCAAGAGGTGAGTGAGCGTAGCAAACAAACTTCAACCTGGAAGCGAGTGAGCGTAGCGAACGAACTTCAACCAGGACGTGATTGAGCCATGCGAACGAGCTCACTTGTGAAGTTAAACCTAGGTAGGCCTAGCTAGAACAATTCATACCATCGCAATCCATCCTAATTAAAAAACACGGTAAATATGCATTTTAAGGTTTGCATGTGATTTTTTTATTTTATACGACCAAAACCATGTCATGTGGACCTGCTCAAATTACCCGGAATATTAAGCAGATCACAAATATTCAAGAAATGTTTTGATTCGACGTCAAATAAGCGAGATTTAAAAAAATCTGCAATGGTTTTTTAGGATTTTTGCTCCAACTTTTGCTTGTGTTAAAATACCAGAACATAACAAGCAACCTGGCAGTGCTACAACAACCAATGAATAGGTTGGTACTGAAAGAATTCCAAGCATATTTCCTATACAAACTTAATTTTCTCGACTAAGTTAATTACCCATTATTTCCCGTTAAACTACCCTTTTACACATTAAATTACTCTTTCCCCTGCCTATTTTTGGATGATAAACCACGTTAGATGTCTCCCCCACCCAAAACCACGAATTCCCACCTGTCCCCTAGTGAGTTGGGGTTATGGCTGTATCACATTTTTGTCAAAATCTTATTTTAGCTTATTTGACGTCGGATCCAAAAAGTTCTTGCATATTCATGATCTGCTTAATATTCCAGATAATTTGAGTTACATGAAGTATTTTTGTAAAAAAAGAATTGTGGTCGTTTTTTTGTGTTATGGTCCTTTTCCGTGGAAAAAGAACGTCATTTTTGGAATCAGCATTGAATTTTGAGTAGAAGGAAAACAAATTCAAAAATCGTGTGCAAACCCTAAAATGCATATTAACCAAAAACACTTATAATACAGTCCCGAATTTACATAAACCAGACTTATCCTCACATACCTATTAGACAACCTTATAAGCATTGTTTTTATTAATAGTATATTTCAGTGTTTTACTCCAGAGCTTTCATTGTAGGCCTACATTAACAGTCTGGAGGTAACATAAACTAACAATTCGGTTCATTCTGACCTAAACTTTACCTTCCTAATCTAACCTAGGTTTAAACAGCCCCAAAATCGCATGATTCGCATGATTCTTAAGTTCATAAATACCAAATTTTGTTGTGTGAGAAAAAATCCACTAGGTTAAACTAAGTTTTTATCCAGCCTACTCTCGGTTTGATTTGGGCATACCGTAACCACTAAAGCTGGGTTTTCCTAGGCGCGGAAGCGGAGAGAGGAGCGCGGAGAGCGGAAAAGAGATAAACATGGTGTTCTGTTCCGCTTCTAGGAAAACAGTAACATATAATTACCTAAGACAAGTGGAGTCCGCTCTCCGCGTTCCTCTCTCCGCTCTAGAAAAAAGTCATTAAATAACTTCTTGATCAGCATTGTACGTGTTATTAAATTTACGGAAAGTAAATAAAATAAACGTCTTATAACACTTAAAAAGTGATTTTAAGTGTTATAAGACGTTTCTTTTATTTACTTTCCGTAAAAAAGTCATGTATTTCACTAACTTATATGAGAGGTACTATTAGTTTATTCCCATAACTTACATTTGGGTGGACTTCCGTATCTGTTGGCACAAACAACCAAATTAAAATATTGATTATTCTATTGTTTCATTCAATATATCGATTGATATTTTCATTTGGTTGTTTCTGGCAACAGATACGGAAGTGTACCCATACATTTTAGTGATTGATTTTAATGGACTACCAAGAACGAGACATTAAGCAAGGACAGTCCAGGGTACAGTTTCACATAGAACCTACGATATCTTATTGGATAAAATATTAGTTCAATACCTACATTTAGATTGAAACACATATTGTTGTCATGTGACATTAAGTTATATCAATTACATAGTTTGAATATGAACATTTCAAAGAAAAAACACTTCAAATTACTACTGCAAGCATTTTTGAAAAAGTAATTTGAAGTGTTCTTCTCAGGATTTTAATTTTACAAAAACAGTCTGCAGGCGACATAAACTAACAACTCGATACATTATAACCTAAACTTTACCTAACTAATCTAACCTAACTTCAAAACACTTAATGCAGGCACCAATTCACATACAGCACGACCTACCACCCTGACATGCCTAAATAAGAACTACATGTAATTAGTCCACCAGTCCATCTATATCTCTATAATGTGACGAAATTCCTATTATAGAGAACATTAAGTTATTTGACTACAGAATCACTTGAAATGTTATCCATCCTATCTTGTTTATTGTAATGTTAAGTATGTTTTTACGGCAATATCTTGAGAAATATTCATTAGCGGTGAAAAACAATGGTATATTTGGATTCAGGAGGTAAAAAACTATGAAGTAAGATATCAAAATTAAAAATTCGTTTGGAGGCACCTATACAGGAGGTAAAAAACTATGAAGTAAGATATCAAAATTAAAAATTCGTTTGGAGGCACCTATACGGAATAAATACCAAAATATTTTAAAGGATATTTTTATTGAATGAAATATTTTTAAATGATTGGATATGTAACTTAGGGTCAATTGAAAATTTCATAATTGATCATAGCCTAAGTTAGGCTAGATTCTCTGCGTTACTGTAAGTTACCTTAGGCAAAATAAAAGGATTTAATGACAAATCTGGTCTATTCATAGGACATTTTCACTATTTTCAGATAGTGCTCGATTAGGCCTAGTCAGTGCTCGATTTGTTAAAAATAAGGTGCCAGAACTGTATATTAGCGTAGCCCAGTTAAGGAACTGTACCCTTTTAATTTGTTTTTTTCTAGGCTGTAATTATCATACCTATAATAACCATCTTTATCAGTAGGGTGCCAATCATGTATAAGTAGTGCTGTCATCTTTGCTAACTGGTATTGGCTAAACTAATGGCAAAAACATGGAAAATATAAAAATAATTGAAACTTCATCAATCTTTAGTTAAGCAGGTTAACCCTATTTTATTGGACAGTGTTCACATCTACAACGTTCAATCCAAATGTTAGTCTTTTTACTAATCACTTCAATAATGTAGTGTCACTCAACTCACTGTCAGTGTCAACAAAACAAAACAAATTCAATTGACACATTTTTATTCTGCAAAATGAGGTTATGGTTATGCTGTTATGCTAGTTACCATTTTGTAAACGTCATAAGAATGTACTACTTTTGTGTCTCCATGTAGACTGTAGACTCACATAGCAGTGGTATGCGACGATTTCAGTGTCGATCATTTGGGATGTCGATAATCTGGGACCATTGAGCTGGGACCCCACGGTTTAATTTAAGGTGGAACTACAGGTTAATAGATTATGGTACCAATAAGAGTGCTAGCACGTATAATCTAATAATCAAGAATTATAATAAATTTACGATTAAAAATGAACGCGAACACGATATAACAGTTAAACAATTTAATTTATTTGTGTTGGCATTAATATGTCACTGTTAATTTATATAGCTGTTAAATTATTTATTTCATCTTTGGCAAACCCCGTTTTTACGGGTGGGTTCCAAATTATCGACAACCATAGAAATTGATCGAAACTGAATTATTCCCATTTGGTCGACACTGAAATATTCCCATTTTACCGACATCCTAAATAACCGACGTTGCAAATTATCAACTTACGATAGTCTTAGATATTAATTAATTATGCTGACGTGCAAGGCGCCATCAATTACGTACGTAACGCGTTATCCGGAATTTCAAACCCCTCCCTCCCATAAGTGACGCAGGACGCTGCATAAAGTCTAAACCGCCCCGCCCCCCCCCCCCGGCCAAGGCATGGCCATCTTTAACTACAGTTAAAGGCGGCCGTGTCCGAGGCGTCCGTGCCTCCCCCTGTATGGTAAGCACATAACGCTGTCATAAGTCATTTATTTAACCAGATTTACATAATTTACATGCATTGGTTATGTCAATTACAGTAATACATATACAAAACTCCTTATACTACATGCCATAAGCTATTTACATTTGGTGTCAGATGTTTTCTTAAATAAGGTTGTGAGGTATGATAGCTAGGTGATATTTTCCCCTGTTGTCAAAAACATTGTTTAAAATTGTTTTTGAAGTAATCGTATAAATAAAGAAAATTTAAGAAAAAACCTAACAGTATTTGAACACAACCCCGAAACAGATTTACGTTAACAATAAAGTGTAATTTAAAAAAATCTGCAGTTGTATACCAAAAACATCTTATGTGTATTGTAGCATTTCTGAACAAAATTTACATTACGGTAACATAACGGTACACAATTCAGATGGATCTGATTTGCCATCGTATTTAACTCAGAGTGATCTAACCCATGCTTTCAAGTCCTCTATAACTGGAAGATTAATAGGCTATGTGTCAGTTTAGAGCTCAATAAATCGAGCAACAATTATCAGATTTCGAATAAATGTTGTACAAACGTGTAAACCTACGTTTATTTGAACGATTTTGCTTACGAACCAGCATGATAGGACTATGAGAACGGGCGGGGCTTAAAGGTTTTTGAGGTAAAATTTGGGTTCATGATTCAAGATTTATTGAGCCGTCCAGTAATTCACAAATGGCCAAGTCAATAAAACTAAAGCTATAAAAAAAACAGAGTCACATTTCCTCTTGATTTACAAGTCCAAACTCAGTTCTACATATCCAGTACAGTTTTTCTAATTGTCAATCGTAAAATCATAAAATTTCCAAACCATTTTACAGAGCTTAAAAAATAAATAATTTAACATATTCAAGAGTTGTTGTATGCCTTACAATAATTACGGAGGAATTAAAAAATGAAATGAAAAATGTACATGTTATTCTTATGGAGAATAGATAAACTACCTATTGTAGTTTATTTGTTTGTGGATATTATGTAATCAAATTTGGCAAATTAGTTGATTTCATACAAAGCTATTAACTTCCAATAAAATCCCAATCCATTACCTTCCTTGTAGCAGTAACCACAGGTAGGCTACTCATTAACATCAATATTATCTAAACAGGAAATAAATATGACAATAATTAATTGTAAGGAATTATTTTAGTAGAAATTCAGCCAGGTTAACGGAAATTAACTTCGATTGCAGGTTTACTGTGATTAGTTTTTTATCGGATTTCCCATTTAGGAAATAAGCTAAAAACGTAGTACCCTACTCATGGTAAGACCTGGACCCAGGACCGATTTACTTTTTTATTTTGAGATCCCTAGAGGCCAAAAACACGATCCGTTCAAATTTACATACAGGGTATTTTTTTTAACTTGCATCTTTATTTATGTAAAAACCGCAATAGATAGAAATATGCAGTTTGCGGGAATCATCTATTGACGTATGGGGCCCAATTATTTTGAATTCAACATTACATTAACATTCTCCCCTTTCCCCCCTGCCACCAACTAATTTTTTTTAATAGCAAGGTACCCCTTGTGACATATCAAATGAAAGAGCATGAAAAAATAAAATGTTTGATGAAAAAAATTGAAAATGGGTTCATAAATTTGTAAGATATCCCCCCCCCCTCACCCCGGATCTTAATTTTTTTAATAGCAAGGTACCCCTTGTGACATATCAAATGAAAGAGCATGAAAAAAGAAAATTTTTGGTGAATTTAATTTTCCATTTGATATGTCACAAGGGGTACCTTGCTATTATAAAAAAAGTTATCGGTAGTGGGAAGGGGAGGATTATCTCACAAACTCAAGAGCCGATTTCAATTGGTTTTTCACCAAACATTTTCTTTTTTCATGCTCTTTCATTTGATATGTCACAAGGGGTACATTGCTATTAAAAAAAATAAGTTCCGGGAAGGGGGATATTTCACAAATTTATGAGCCAATTTTAAAATTTGTTTTCACTAAACATTTTATTTTTTCATGCTCTTTCATTTGATATGTCACAAGGGGTACATTGCTATTAAAAAAATAAGTTCCGGGAAGGGGGATATTTAACAAATTTATGAGCCAATTTTAAAATTTGTTTTCACTAAACATTTTATTTTTTCATGCTCTTTCATTTGATATATCACAAGGGGTACCTTGCTATTCAAAAATACCCCCACCGCAGCAAACCTGCCGACTAAGCGAATTTCCAGTTGCCTGAATTGATTTTCAATTAAATTTATTTAATTAATATTAATGTTTATGAGTACATAGGCTTGCTGCTACAGGTCAAAAAGTGTGTTTTTAGTGAAATATTAATGACTTAGTATAAAATAAATAAATTTACTAAGTTTGATCAAAATATATCCATAAACAAGCAGACTGAGACTACAACATTTTACAATATTCCCCATAAAAATAACATGGAAAATAGCAATTATTTGAAATTTCTCCGTAACTAATAATTGTACAAAAACACTTTGATATACTTAATTATTTGTTTTTTTTTAAGCTCTTTAAGGAGGTCTGAAGAGAAATCGGGAAATTTTGCGTTTAGAGGGTCAAAAATTAGAAAAACCAATTTTTACTCCATAAAACCCCCCATAAAACCCCGTTCCCATGGTCCGATGATGCTGGTTTGCGAACTCATTCAAGTTTATCCCGCCTTACACCTTCAAACCAAATTTCATCGAAATCGGATAAAAATTACTAAAGTTATCGTGTTCACGGACAAACACACACACACACACACACACACACACACACACACACACACACACACACACACACATATATATATATATATATATATACACATATATAAAAATTTGAACGAAAGGTGTTTTTGGCCTCTGGGGACATCAAAATGAAAAAGTAAATCGGTCCCGGGTCTAGGTCTTACCATGCCTCCTACGGTAATAGCTACTTTCCCATAGGGAAATTCGCTAAAATAAGTTAGGGGCAGGGGGGAAAGGGAAAAATGATCTGATTTCGATGAAGTTTGGTACAAACGTGTAAACCTACATTCATTCGAACTAGTTCGCGAACCAGCATGATCGGACTATGGGAACGGAGGTTTATGGGGTAAAAATTAGTTTTCCCACTTTTGGCCGTAAAAAAAAGAAATTTTGCCATTCCATATTTCCAAACCATTTTGTAGAGCTTGAAAACAAATATAAATAATTTACTATATAGAAGCATTGTTACGCGCGTAATAGTTACAGATAAAATTCCAAAAAATTGTAAATTTAAAATTTCCATGTTATTCTTATGGAGAATACGTAAAATATTGTAGTTTGCATGTTTATGAACATATTTTGGAAAAATTTTGAAAATTTATTTATTTCATATTATACTATTAACCTTTAATAAAAACTATTTTTCCCCTTCCTTTTCCAGTAAACCTAAGTACCTGTTAAACTAATGTTATTCAAATGTGATGTGGAAAACGAATAGGGACCTCTTGTCGGGAATTTTCTATTTTGAGTTTTATATGTATTTGAATTCCTTATTGAATTCCGAATCGATTAGTGCAAGTCGATTGGTCGAAGTGGTGTATGATTTTTTTTGGTAAAGTTATAGGACTTTGAAATTTTGTTTTGGAAAAGGGTCATTTTGAGAAAAACTGTTTTGAAAATTTCAAATACGCATAAATACGGTGTTTTTCGTATTTAAGAAAACGATTATGGTATCAAAAGAAAACTTATAATGTCCTCATTGGAAGCAATACAAATTGTTGTCATAACTCACAGTAAGTTTCATTTAAATAATTGTTTTATTGAAGCGTGTCGTAAAAATTGCATTTTAGAAAAGGGACCTCTTGTCGGCCCTATGTTATTTCTCCATTAGATAAGAAAAGGTACCTCTTGTCGGAACCACAAAAATTGTGAGTTATTTTGTTCTCCGTGAACTGAACTTTTATGTAGTTCTCTAAATTTCCACTAGAATACAGGACAATTAATTTTTGGACTAAAATCTGTGTAAAAAGTGAATATTAGAAATGGGACCTCTTGTCGTTATGGTGAAATAACATTCAGCGACAAGAGGTACCTCTTATCACACCGTGCAGAGGCTAAACAAAGTAATTTTTTCGACCTTTTGCATCTTCAATTCGATATTTTAACTGATACTGTCATTTTCTATGCTAAATGAGGTATATAAATCGATAAAACCTCGAAATTCAATATTTTCTACCTTAGTTACTTATATCGGCCGTACT